GGGGAGAAAAGAGCTCTAATTTTAGTTCATTTTAAGCTTCTCATTTGCATTGCGCTAATACTGGCCCTGATTGGAACGAATTTCGTTAAATGAAATTAAAAAATGAGACCCTCCGTGTTCACGAAATACGACCCACAAAAATGTATTATTCGGTACATGTTTCAACTGCTTAGGCCGTAATTTTTAGCCTTTGTTTTTAGAGACAGAACGAAAAATCTTGAATGAACTCTCCCAAAGTCATAATCTCAAGTTAAACTCTAACTAACTCGAAACTAAGATGAATAGGATTAAAATTCTTAATGACACAGTGCCTGGGTATTTGTTTAGATATCGAGCTGAAATTTAAAGAACATTTAAAAAGCATATTTCAAATGGCATATACATAAGATATAGGGCATTTATTGCTTTAACGTTTTACGTATTTTGCCGTACCTTAACCGCCGACCTTTGCGGGACCTTGGTAGAACCCATTCCAAAAGATATTTATTCTGAATTGCATGGGTCTTGCCTGAGATGGACCGTAACGAATATTTGAAGAAATTTTTATTTGAAACGTAAATTGACCGTTTTAAATTTGATTAAGTATTGATGCTGCTGGTATTTTAGAATAAGTAGAAGCGTTTATTTCAACATCATTCTTAAGAGTTTAATTTAAATTGCAATGTGTTCGTATATATTACGGAGGTATTTGCACGTGATTCTTCCATAAGTACATATTTGTGTACCAGATTCTCGAGTTTTAACCCTGCGAGGCTGTTTTTACTGGATAGTTCAGATGGTAAAGGTAAGTACCTGTACTCTATTTATCTTTCAAATAAGTTTGAAAAAAATCATTTTTGTCTTCTGTGCCTGTCGATTAACAACATTCTTCTTCTTGTATTTTTGTATATTCTACATAGTTCTTCGATTTGTAAATAACAATAATCTTTTTTAAAACTAGGTTCCTGCTTTTTAACACTTTAAAATGTGATGACCGTGGAATGAAGCGGATGTCCCCAACGCAGAATTTGAAGACGAAGTGGAGATGGTAGTCGATACTAATGACAATTTAGAAGACGAACTACTTCTTTTCTTGTCTTTGTCTTGTTTTGTATGATTTTTTAAGTGACTGATACTTTATTATTATTGTATTTAATATTTTGTATATTAATAATGATACTATGTAGAAATGTAATGAAGTAGAACGTAATAAATTGTTACTTTGTACTAATTTCTTTATGCATATGTTTCAAGAATTGCTCGGTGAAAAAGACGGAAACCATACTTATATCCCGCTTGTTACTGTAGTTAGATAAATTCCTAGGACGGTCCTGGAATAGTTACGGGCAAGGATCTGCTCGGCAGGGTGTTCTATAAGGGACTGCGGTTTTGGAGTAATAAACAGTGGGAAAAGTTAATTACGGGGTCGGCTGTGAAAGCACTATATTTCTGGTCGAAGTATACAGTAATAGTCAAATTTTTTGTCTTATCAAATTTAGTTGCTGTAATTTTGTATATGGTTTTTGTTTATATAATGAAAGTAAGTGTAGAATTCAAAAAAATCAAAACCAACGAGTGCGCTTTGCGTATGGCTACTAATACTAATACGTTTAAAGTTAAATATAAGAAGGGATTATTTCAGCTGCAGAATTTGCTGTAGAGATTTTTCGTTTTTTTTTGTTTGAATATTTTTTCAGTATTTTTCATGAAAAAATCATAGCTAGCATAGGGCGCTATCATCAATTTCTTTTTTTAATATTGTTGTGCACTATTGTGCCACGCACTGGTTTAGTAGAGTAGCTAATTCTAAGCTAGTTAAATAAAAGAACAAAAGTCGCTTAATATTATTATTATTATTCCTGAGAACACAAAACGTACTCTTACTTTAAAGAGAAAAACAAACCATTAAAATATTAAATGCTCTCTGGATTTTCTTAGTGACGCCTTAAATTCAGTTAAATCCGCTGAAACAGAAGTCGTTTTTTTTAGTTAAAAGTATGAAAAGTTCGCACCTCTAGCCAAGAGAAATTTCGCAGGGTTTTTAATTGGACGCCGCGTTCGCTGTTGATTTCGTTTAAATGAATTCACTTTGGTTCCCGAGAGCACTTTCGGAAAGTTTTAATAGTTCAACGAGGGCCAATCTCCGCCATAATGGAAACTTAAAGTAAACTTTGTCGAAACGTCTGCTAATAATTCGCTGTTTGTTTACTAAAATGCTCGCGAAAGTTCATAGCTCAACCCCTTTTGCTTAAAAGAACTTTTTTTTGAAAAATTATTAATCGCTTACTCTTATATTTTTGAATCGAACTGATACTAGAACGAGGGTTGAACAGTTTCAGAGTTCAGGAGAGAGACAGAAATGTTGCTGAAAAATTTTTGAAGTATTACATTTTTTCTACTTTAATTATTTGAGTTGAGTTATAATTAAGGGCGCTTATAATAATAATAATATATATATATATATATATATATATATATATATATATATATATATATATATATATATATATATATATATATATATATATATATATATATATATATATATATATATATATATATATATATATATGTATATATATATATATAATATATATATATATATATATATATATATATATATATATATATATATATATATATATATATATATATATATATATATATATATATATATATATATATATTATTATTATATATATATATATATATATATATATATATATATATATATATATATATATATTATTATATAATGATAATGATGATGAATGGCACCAATCAATTAAAACAGAATTTTAAGTAACCAAACCTTAAAATTCAACTTGTTTTAATTAAGGTAAGGTAAGGAACGACCACGTATACAGAATACACAATGCCATTATGCCAACTTACAAAAATTTTACACACAAAAATAATATAACATATAAAATAATAATAAAATAATTAAAAACCAAATTAAAAATGTATAAGATCAAACACAATCAAATATTAAAAAGTCAATTAAATTAAAAATTCTTTTAATCCTTTTAATATTTTTTTAAATATTTTTTTGTGAGGTTTGCGGTTCAGTAGCTATTTATTTAGGCGTTTTATTTCATTTAGTTTGATTTTGCTATCTAACGTGTAATATTGAATGCTGTAGGTGGTACAGGTTTTTATTCCTAATGTTATATTCATGCGTTTCGCATCTTTTAATGATATTTTTGTTATGATTTTTTGTGAAAATTATCAAAAAATGGTTATAAAGACAGGGAAAAGTCAATATAGTGTATTTTTCAAAATATTCTGTACAAAAGTCTGGCTGCTTATGCCGGGCATGGCTTTTTTGTATAATAGATATTTTTCCCCACAACATTACCCCGTAAGCGATAGTAGATTGCATAAGACCAAAATATATTAAATTTCAAAACATCTGTAGAGACTGCGTTTCTAATATTTTTTGATAGAAAACAATTCGAACTTACAATTCCGACCATATAATCAACACGTGACTTTTATCAGTTTTTAATAGAATGCTGGACTTTTTTTGCATTTTTGGTGGTAAATTAAATTGCTACTTATTTATTGGTATTTAATTTTGATTTTGATTTGAATTTGAATTTGATATTTGAAGACAATTAGTCCAAATAAGACCTTGAAGGTTTCAAAAGTTCCCATAGAGCTAAAAATTTTAGATTCTCTACAAAAATGTCTCTATTCCACGATCCATTGCGATCCTATGGAATTCAAAACTATTTTATTCTATTGAAAATTAAAAAGCTATGTAAATTATGTAATTCATAAATAAAAAAAAATGGAAAAATTATTCGTCAGATTCCTAATTATCCTTCTAGTGTATTGTCTTCGTTTTTTTCTTCTTTTTTTCTTCTTCTTCCTGCTAGATCACTGGAACTTCCAACTCCAGTCTTTTGGAGCCATTTTATTGGTTTTTGACGTTCGGTTATATTTTAAGAATTTTCACAATTCATTGATAATAGTATTCTGAACATTCATACCATACCATACGCGTTGAAATGCGTTAGCGACAGGCGAGATCCTAACCGTGTGCCCCTCGTGAGTCTAGAGGAGTTCATCTAACGCCTTTGTTAAAATGTATATTTTCCAACTTCTCAAGATCATAAAATAGCCCTAAAATGTGTTCTTTATTGTCTAAAGTATTGCACCGCCCTCCGGGAAAACCATTTTTTGCTTACATATCAAGTTATGTTTTTGGTCGAGTATTTGATTGTTCAAAAATCTTTCCGAAATTATACAAAACAGTAGTTATTAATGTGTTGTTTGTCTCCTTTGCTTTTATACCAAAACTATTAGATCTTAATTTAAAAGACGGTCTATTCATAGGACTTTTTGTGTGTTTCCCTAAAATGTCCACCTGATTGCTATTGGATTTAATAAATGAGTTTGATATAATCATAAAATGTCGATTAGAACAATTGCATTTTTTTTTATATCTTGCTTTTTTAATTTATATTTAATCTTACGTTTTTTTATGAAATTGTTCTGATTTATTATTTTCGAACATTATTTATTAATATTTTTAGAAAACGAAATCCTTTTATTGTTATATTCTTTATATAGTTTTATTTCAAACGGTGTTGACAATATGAATGAAACTTTTCTAATTCGATTGTGAATTCTGGTATTTCTATTAACAAAACTTACATTTCAGAAGGCATGTATGATGGCTATGGACGTCATCCATTCGCTTGAGTCGTGTAGAAATATCTTTCCATCCTATGGAATAAAATAAAAGTTCATTACAACTTAATCTGGACATTCTATATCCTAGATTGGGTATCCATCAGTTATCTCGTTTTTATGTCAGTATTAAGTGCTTCAAGAAAATAAAAAAAATCTATTGTTATTTCTCCAGTGTTTAGCCTTTTTTGTAATTGTTAATTTTTATTATTTTATCGTCTTTTTTATTGGCTTTTTAATATTGTATTTAGATGTATGACTAGGCTTATAAACTAACTTGAATTTGAATTAATGAATGATCTATCAATTGATTTTTGCAGTGCACCTGGTTCACAGCCCACCACATAGACTACATCTTCCAAGCGCCCACCCTCATCGTGACCTTCGTCAACGTGGTGTTCTTGATATCGATAATGGTGGTGCTGGTGACCAAATTGCGCTCCGCCAACACGCTGGAAATCCAGCAGTACCGCAAGGCGATGAAAGCACTCGCGGTCCTCATTCCACTGCTGGGAGTGACTTACGCCATCACCATTTACATGCCGTCGTTCACGCTCGTAGATATGGTAAGGGCGGCGCTGCTGTCTGTACAGGTGAGTACGAAAATATGACAAACGTTTGCCACAGCGAGAAGGTGACATATTCTTACACTTTCCGCTTTGAAGTAGTGCATTTTATTAAATGTCACCGAATACCAAAAAAAAAACATTTTTTTATTATGGGATCGTCGAGAGTTTTAAATAATGGGTTTAGGTTCATTTATTTAACCACAGTATACAAAATGTATGTGTAGCAAGTCAAAAAAAAAGAACAAATAGGGAGAATGAAACAATATATGAATAAAAGTACAAAACACACGAAACAAATTTGTACACAGGTTAAAAATTTGAAATTTAGGTACTCATTAGTACTGTGAAAACAGTTTATTCTCGGTTGATTCTTGACAACTCTCTTAAAGGATCGATTTAATAAGACGGTATCGGGGAATTGTTAACTGATGTGTGTGCTTTACGCGTTGCGTAAGAACGAGTGCCAGACCGAACAGAAAAACTGGAATGATTAAAATGAATCTGAATTCGGCTATAGTATATGAAAGTAGATGGTAGAATCATAATGAAAATGCTGGGAATACAGAATTCTCTACAGTCCAAACCAAAAAGAATTCGCAGTAAAATAAAGCGAAATATACACTTCTCAAAACTTGGGCATTAAGAGACTGCTTAAGCTTTCGCAGCATAAACAGTGCTGGTGACAATGATTTACAGAGGGAGTCAATATCAACAGACCAGTTCAATCACAATAGTGATACCGAGCAGAGTGACGCTCGTGCCTTTCGTAATATTAACATTTGAGGAAACTAAAAGATTTTGCTTTGTATTTCCATTCAAAAGCAAGTCATTTACATAACTGAGGAAAAGGAGTGTGCCCAAAACCGATCCTTGCAGGACACCGTGGCGCTGGGGTAAAAAATAAGAGTCAGTACCATCTACGCTCACTCTTTGACGGCGATCAGTAAAATACGATTCGAAGAAATATATGAAGGACTCTGACAAATCGTTAGTAGATAACTTTTGCAATAGCAAACTATATCAAAAAGAGAGAGAGATACATTCTGACCATCCTCCAATTTCTCCAGTATGTCCTAACCAATCGCACGCACCGCTTTTATAGTTGACTTTCCTTGTAAAAATCCACTGTTCATTAGCAAAAAATGAAATTTTTAGCAAGCAGTCTAACAGCAACTCTTTCACTTCAAAATTCTTGCCAAAAATAGGCAATAGGCAAAAGTGCATCTGGGAAAGTACTGGAAGAAAAACAGGCATTATATAAATGTGTTAAAAGGAGTACCAACATTCATTCGAATATAAAAATCTTGTAACATGTGAATCAAAAAAATTAAATCGATTAAGTAAAATACAGAAATGGAAACAAAATATTATCGCTTACATGCGTTACATTTATCAAAATTTGACATTACCTTTCTGCTACCGTGCTGTAAATCTCGTCCACAATAATGTCAGCCCTATGGCATAACTTATAATCCAAATTTGACTTAGATATTGTTGAAATTCCAAGAAATTTTTAATATTTTAATATTAATATTTAATATTAATCAAACGTACGTTTGGTGAATTGCAAAGGGAATAGAGACTCAAGTTGAATTGTGAATATTGTGATGGATTCTTCTACAAGTGCTGATTTGCGTAACAAATTATTAAAACAGTGTGAAGTTGGGAAAACGTTCTGTGGTGTGCAGTCTGGAAGAACGTAACAAAGCTACCTACCTAATTTTGGAAACAGCGTTGCACATATTTCAGAGGTGAGTGCAAGTTTATTTTTATTTAAGGGTTATAATACTCTTTATAAGATGATCGGGTACAGAGTTATAAATTGTTGCAGCTTTGTAGGTAAAAATACACCGAAGTGCAGTGTGATGCCTAGGAATAAGTATTTTTTGTATGGAGCTTTGAATCATGAATCAGTTTCGAAAACAAATGTTCAGGGATATATATATTTTCAAATATGCGTTATACTTTTTTTGTCTAAGCATAACCAATTACATTCAGGGTACAACTTTCGAAAGTCACAACTAAATCTTAGGCAGGAATTTTGACGTGTTTGAAGACTCGTCTTTTCTCTATTATGAAGGGAGAAAGAGAGTTTATTACTCAGTTTTGGGAGATAAAATTTTGGAAAGCTGTCAAATTATAAATAATGATCTAGAAATCATTAACAGGGTGTCTCTCCATCTAAATCCAAAAAAATCTATAGCAATTTTCTTTGGTAGGCCCGTGGATGTTGATCGATTGCAACTAGTTGAAAACTGAGGCAAAAAACCTTGGACTTATGCTCTACGATAAGCTAAAATTTAATGGTCACGTTACGTATTCAAAAATCCATTGCTCACTTGAAATGCTTATATGGTTCTAAAAATGTATTAAATTAATCATTATAAAAGGTTCTGTGTGATTCGATAAATGTAATCTTTATCATAAAATTATAAGATTGAAGTCTCCACGCTATTTTTTCAAAAAATAAGCTTTCGCACGGACGTTCACAATTTAAATTTAAGATTTAAAGGCCTGCTCACCCTTCCACGTCACACCATTTTTGTAATGTCTACTCTAAATTATTTCCAAAATGTAAGTCCCTCTGTTTGCACAGATCGTACTACGTATTTATTTTTTATGTGTATTTTTCCTGCATAGCGCTGCTACCTTCTTCTTAGGATAGGTTTTAAAACAATAAATATGACATCTCAAAAATTAATTCAAAAATGTTGTTGTGCGTTAGAAACATGAGAACATTTTCTTTCTATTAGTTTAGTCGCAATAACTCCAAAAATACGAATAATACCAAATCACAACATTTTTTTTGGCCTGCGCCAGAAAACACCTGATGAGTTCGTAAGTTTACTGTCAGCAGCGCCATCATCTGAGAATTAATTTGCGAATAGAAGCGGAAATGACATTCCCCGAGGACGCTGGAAGGACTAGTAATCCTGTATTATAAACACAGCTGTTCGACTTCGTACGTCAGAGAGTTGTGAGTGGGTCGGGTATTATTATTATAGTCTGTGTTTGGTGAAGTTGTCTTTCCATTATCCTCATTTAAAAGTGAAATCCGTCGTCGCGGTTTTTAATCTTTCCGGGCTGGCGACGAACAAAGGTCCCCCCTTCCCCACTACTTTGCCTAATCCCCCGGAAAAACCCCCCCGGAGCGACGTTTCGTCAGAAACTTTCTGAAGTTAAGCGAAATAACTCGTTCAACAAAAGCGAAATTGCGAAGTGATAGAATTCGCGAGTCAACAGAGTTGCGTTTTAATACGATTTCGGATTACGTCGTTGACTTCGCAACCGAAAAGGTTACGTGGAAACTTTTAATTGACTGACTGTTAAGTTTGGTGGTTCGGAGGGGTCGAACAATTCCGAAGGTTTCCTCCCGTGGTCGCTTAAATCCGATATTTTGATCGTCTTTAATATTGTTTTCGATGTTTTGATTGGTTTTCCCAATGACATTATATCCAGGACCACTGTTCTGAATTTTAGAGAACAAAAATGTTACGCTAAAATATCGAAATGAAAATATGAATTTAAAAAAAACGGGGAAATTGTGGCTCTCCAGGGATGTCTATTCTATTGTCTATGTCTATGACAGAAATGGGCAAAAAAGACAAGACATAACATATAAACTTGTTTTCTTTTAGTCTTTTGCGCTTATTCGTGATATTGAATATATAACCAAAAATCGCAATGTAATGCGATGTAATGCAATGATACCATCAAATCTTTTTCTTTGCTTCATTTCATTTCACTTCCGATTTCAATAACATGGCCTTTTGGTTCCCAGAGACATTCATACAAAATCCGATATAAATTTAAATACAATACAAAAACAAATATTTTATTCTTCCTCAGAGCAATATTTTTTCTTTTTCCAATAATTTCTTTTACAAATCCGAATCACTGGATTATCGAACACAGAAATGAAGTCTAGAAATTAAATCCATTCTAGAAAAATAAATGTTTTATCAATATCTTTTGGCGTTAAATATATTCTTTTATTGGGCTAGGTGGCTTCTACTTGATGAAAATCCATTTAACACAATTTAATTACTAAATTTATTGGTTGATGACTATATGCAAGATATTAAATGTTATAGATAAGACTAAAAGACAAAATATAAAAGTATTTTCGAATATACAGGGTTAGAGGGTGTACCGAAGAGCAATAAAGAAAATAATACTTAATTAAACAGTTCTTTTTTGTTTTGCAGTTTTGTATTCATTTTTTTAAGTATTTTTTCTGACACTATTAGCAATTGTAATACTGCATTTTTAATATTATGCCTAGCGTAAAATACTGTTTAAATTCTGTTTCCAAAGTAAAGTAAAGTAAGTTCAGATTTAATAAATTATTTTTCTATTACATTTTGTTTTAACATGGAACGAATGCCATTATCTGCAGGAATTATACTTAATTCGTCACTGTAAACTTTTCACGTTCAGGTTATATACTAAATTTGGTATAGAGAAGTATAACATACAGGATGTTTCCTTTGTTTTTTCACAAAAATTAATATTTTTCATTTTGACTCGCCCTGTTAAATTGTTTCTTTTAGTCTTTTAGTCTGTAACTTTTGTACTTAACATTTGTTTGTAAAGCATAATAAATGAGATATACTAATATACTAAAAAGTTCGTAATAGATTCATAATTACCGTTGCAGATACACAGTTATATCCATTTTTTTTTACTTTTTGGTTCATTATGTAAAAGTTTGCATTCTAACTATGCAATGATATTTTACATGAAGATTAACAAAATGGGATATTCTAATCTATTATTTAATGATAAATTTAAATTTATAACCCTGCAACGGATGTCCGAATATTGTCATATTTTATATTTAATAAAGGTACGGTGTCAAACATTGGTCAAATCAATAAATAACTTTGAAAATCTGAACATTTATTTTCATTCATTTAATATAAAATATGTAGTCGTTTTTTGAATGTCGATCGGCCTAAACACTCTATCTAACACGGAATAAAAAATACAAGCACTGCAAGTGAAATTTCTTTCCTCAAAATTGCAAATTACAATATCCAAATACCTGATCCTCGCATAGAAATAACGCGGGAAACATTTGTTGAGAAAGGATTACTGACGTCACTTCTCGTGCCAAACTGACGAAAATAAATCTCAGATGTTCTTAGTTTAACATACTTGGGCGTTCTTGGCATTTTTCTCCTTCTGAACTTTTTTGAGTAAAATTTTGAACAAACACTGGAAAACTTGTACCAAGAAGGAAAAAACAAGCGGGTACGTAACTAAAACCATGATTTGAGATAAAATTCAGAATAGAAAAAGCAAGACAAGCTTTTAACAAAATGTCAAAACTGTTTTTAAGCCAAAATTTCGACCTAAAACTCAAAGTCAGAATCTTTATCAAGTGTTATGTTTTCTCTACACTTTGTTACGAAGAAGAGGCACTGACATTAACAGAAGCAACCGATAATAGACTTGAATCATTTGAAATGTGGCCATAGAGGAGAATTCTGAGGAGCTGGTGGGTGGACAAGATTTCTAATGAATCAGTACTGGATATGGTATTCCAGCACAACCACTAAATTATTCAGAGCAACCGTAAACGAGGTCATTATAGCCAATATTCCGAACGAATAGGCACTTGAAGAAGAAGAAGACATGTTTACGTCAAAACTTGTATTCTCTATCTCTAGAACACTTAGAGGCAAAAGCGGAAGCGGAATCTATTCCGTTGACTATTTGGGTTAGTTAAAGCGGAAGCGTATTTTTCTGCTCAGAAATTTCGCCCTGTGGTGGATAACTATAGCTTTAATATATCTACCTCGACAAGACCTCTAAAAACGCATCTGAAAGTTCTATTCCCAAAAGCTCTTTAAAAGTTCAGACTCTACAATATTTAGTTCTAAAAGCTCTAGCTCTAAAACTTCTCGAAACGCCTTAACTCCCAAAGCTCTAGACAATTCATTCTTTAAAATCTCCTTTCAAAGCTCCAGCTGTAAAAGTAAATAGACCCCACATAATTGCATTTCTCGCAAATGCCTTTTTAAACCCCTAAAATCTTTTTAAAAGCTCTATAAAAACACATCTAAAAGCTCCACCTCTGAAGGTTCATGTAAAAGATGTACCCATAAAATCTGTTTGAAAGGCTCTTTAAATGTTCAAGCTCTAAAAGGTCCTCTGGAAGTCTATCTCTACAGATTTAGTTGATTGTTAGGACGAATAAGGGTAAATAAAAATACGCAGGTTAATTTTAAAAAAATAAAAATGTATGTATGTACATCTTTAACTTTGAGATCTAACCACACCATTTTCCACAGTCTTGTCGATGACAGCGCGCATTAAAAGGATGCTCGTGTCCAGTTTGACCATTTCCTCGGTCTTTTTCCACAGCTTCTTGGCTAGATCTGGGTTACGCGCGTTCAAGTATTTTGCCCATCTTCGACAGTTGTGGAAATGTTGACCCGATTGATCCTCGATACCTTTTTGTACTGCGCAATGTATCGTGGTCTGCGCTCCCTCCAAAGGCGTCTAAAAATATGTTTTTAATACAAAAAATTTGTCAAATTTTTGTTGACATTTTGGCGGCAGCGCGAAGCACCCATCAAATGAGCATAAAAGAAAACTTGCCAAACTTTTATAACACACATTTTTAAAACTAATTGAAAAACTCGAATTTTTCGAAATTCTGAAAACCTCGTGCAAAAAGTTATAGCAACATTAGCGTTACTTTTTATAAAACTTCTGGAAACTGTTTCAGTCAAGCTCTGAAGAAGCCAAATGATTGATGAAACGTTAGCTAGTTCAACCCAACAAAAACCGATAATAAGTTGAAATTATGAAAGAAAATGACTACTGCCCACAGCTATTACGTTTTCTCTAAGCACTTCTCTAAGGTCTCATATGTTAATACAATCCCTGATTCAGTATCGTAGGGTAGTAGTAGTGTAAACATGTCTTATTCTTTGTTTTTTATTTTGAAATAGACTAATTTGTACCAGGTCGCCCTTCCCTTAATATGATAAAGCCATAAAAATGGAGTGTTTCCCTTTGAAAAAAAAGTCACCAATTACACTACGCAGTTTTAAAGTACTGGGCAAACATTATTTTAATTTTGTTTAAGTTAAAACACCCTGTAAATAATAATGTGAAGATTTTTTATAAAAGATTTGGGCTGAATCTTAATATTTTGAACTCAGGATTTTACAGTTTATGTATTTCTCCTTTCTGATTATTAATGGACCATCCTGTACAAATTTTGATTTAAGCATAGTATGGAATTGTCCAAAGTCCAATGTGAAATTTTTCATATCGATATTCCGGACCTGGTAAACTTTTCTAAAAAACGGAAAAAGCTCACATTACCTTCCGAAACAGGCTCATATAAACATACTCCACGGGAAGCTTGAAATAAACGGGCATATTCCTGAAAAGCTCGGTGGAAACGGAACCCGGATGCAAGGAGTACGTCGTGACGTCGGTGTTCCCTAGCCTCGACGCTAATTCTTGCGTAAACAAGATGTTGCACAGTTTACTTTTGGCGTACATGTGATATTCTCCTCCAGAGAACGAGTTTAGATTGTCGAGGCTTACATAACCGAATATAGCGGCCAACGAGGACACGTTTATTATCCTAGAACCGGGCGTTTCCTTCAGAAGGTCTGGAACCAAGATGGTTTTTATTTTATTTCGCATGTTCCTCAATATAAAGGAATTTTTAAATAAAGGCATTTCAATAGGGGACTTTTGGATAATTGGCGATGAAAATGAATATACTAAAAGGAAACAAAAAACATATACCATTATCATAATGAAGGTTCTATCCCTTTTAATCACAGCAGCAGAAAATTAAAAATTCATTTAAATATATAACTATCACTGCATATCGGCAACACCGCATTGTCAAATCTCAAAAACGCTTGGGAAATAATTTAATATCTCAAGGAAACTTCTAAAGCTACGGCTGAAATTTCTACTTGCGAATTTGTTTATATTGTCGTTACGGTATAAAAACCAAATTTCCGTTATTTTTATGCTGATATATTTAGTTGTCGTCATTGCTTTTCATATGTTATAGATACTTACTTTCTGGTTATTTTGTATTAACCAAAACCAGTACCTCATTTATAAGAATATGTTTGAAATAATATTTAGTGAACTTGAAATTATTTACTACTACTAAGCGCTTCATACCATACCTCATTGAAATCATTTACTATTACTGATGCGGCAACACCGCATTGTACATAGCAGATCAACTATTCTTGGAAAATAACTTAGATTCTCGAGGAAACAAAATTTGAACCTGTCCTCCAGCTGAAATTTCTGTTTGCGAATTTGTTTATATTGTTTATTCGGTTTAAAGATTATCCTTGTTTTCATGTTTTTTATAGTTACTTAATTTGTATTTCTGGTGTCACTTTCAGCTCACTTTAATCACGGGGTGCGATTAGATGTTTTCGGTGCTTTTTTGTACTCAAAAACCAATAGTTATACAATATATACGTATACAAATTTATATAACAGTGGCCTAGTAGTTACTAAACTAGGTGAATATTTAGTGAAGTTTTTATTAATTTCAACCAGTATAACTGGGATATAAAATATGTTCTATTTTTAAATTTTACTGTAAAATTTTGCTTACAAAACTTTATTTTGACAAAACTTACATTATTTACGAATCCCTGAGGTTTACGTATCATCATTCAAGAATACGCCAATTTTGACTATGGAATCCAAAAATGCTATAACAAAGGCTATTTAAAAATGGAGCTTTGATATTTTTAGGACATCTGCTAACCTTCTATATTATTTCAGTAATTCTAGACAGAACCCTCGAAAGTGAGATTTTTTGAAAATCTTGATTTTGGTGACAATATTCCGTGTGGCGTCAATTGATTTGCAATTTCTAGGTCTTCCTCGATGCGAACAGGTTTATAGTTATAATAACAATATTGTATATGTATATGTTGTTGTGTGTATTATATAAGTTGAGCTTGTGACCTAATCAATAGCGAATATTTGTTTTAACGGGCCAAATAAAAAGATGAAAATAATACGTTTATATGCTGACGTTTCAACACTAACTACGAATAACTTATAAAAAAAAGAATAATGCATAATAGTATATTATGCAACAAGTGTGGTAAATGGCAAAGTTTATTAAATGTGATGCATATTACGGCTATTAGTGTTTGGGTATATTTTTGCAAAACAACACGAATACATGCAAGTGCATTCTACCCTGTTGCAGTTTATGTAACTAAAAATTTTGTAATATGTTTTGTTATTTTGGCAATATGTTTGTTAGGAGAGATAGTTTTGTATTGATGTATAATTATATAATTTTACAGAAGAGATCTCTAGAAGTTTTCATTTGTTTAGGTTCTAGTTCACTCAGGAAAAAAATTAAAAAAATAATCGTGTGTTTCAAAATTATTTTTCAAAAATAAAATAAAAATAAAATTGATAGAAACTTTTTTGTAAATAATGCAATATCCTTAGGGTTAACTATGAACGCAAGTGAAAAATATTTATATAGATCATGCTAAAGTGAATCATTGTGTGATATGAAACTATTATTTTATATTTGAAATTGTTTTATGATAATTATATTAACAGTTTTCTTTCACCTTTTACATATACTTGCGATAAAATAATGCCCGATTAATTTTTGTTTCTGGAAATAAATGAGTTTTCTTGAAACAATATTAACGCTAGATATTGACAGTATCTCGGACAACTTGACAATAAATGTGTAGAAATTGTATTATATACATATATAGCATGTTTATATTAATTTCTGGAAAAGCATCAAACCTTAATTTTTTTGTTAGTTATTTCCGGACACTTTGTGTAAGTAAGCATATTGCTAATTTTGTTTGACACATATTATTACCTTTCTTACCTTTTACTCAATTGCTCGTCTTGCTCAGCTGAGCGTGTAATATAAAAACAGCAAAAACCGTAAACTAATATGATGGAACGTATGAACTCAACTTTTACAAACTTTTTAAAACTTTAAATGTTAAATGTTTTGCAGTAGATTTAGTTAACTTTAACATTATATTGTTAGAGTAATTTCAATTGTTTGGTTGTCGAAAACGGGAATTACTTCCGGTTCGTGTATAATCAGTAATAACTAGTTTGACGTGGTACCAGGACAAAGGAATAGCTGCTTTTTCACACCTTGTTTAAAAAAAAGTAGTAACTTATTCTGGTGGTGCGTCACTTGCCTAGTAGCATCATGGTGAGCAAGAAGGGCGCGAAGTAGTTCACTTGCATAGTGATCTGGAGCTCATCTTCGGTTAATCTATCGCCCAGAACGCCGGCGCCCGCGTTATTTACCAAAATGTTCAATTTTGGTTGAGTTCGGATAATTTCCGCCGCGAAATCCCGTACGGAATTCAACGATTCGAAGTCGACCAGCTCGTAAAATACGTTCGGGTTGTCACTCTCGCGGATTATCCGTTCGGTCGCGTTTTTGGCTTTGGTTTCGTTTCGACAAGCGAGGATCACTTTTGCGCCCCGCTTCGCGAAATCTAAAGCCGTCTCGTACCCGATGCCTGAAAAAGAAAGACGATTTAATACCGGGCGTTTTAGGAAAAAATGTGCGGCCAGTAAGAGCGATGGGAAGTCGTTTTTATAAAAAAAAGACCAGACAATAATATGTCCAAAATAAATATGAACTAAAAGTTCATATAAATTGTAATTGCAATTTAGTTTCCCAAGATAAGGTTTCATGGAGTTCAAGATTTCAAACATTAACAAAAGTATGTTTTTTGTTTTGTGGCACTACACTTGTTTTTGGACAATAGTACAAAAGACAATACCAATGCGCACCATTGAATTCTATATAATTTGAACTGAGGTGGCTTTTACTTGATGAAAATCCATTTATCAAAATAAATAAGAACTAAAAGTTCAATTGTTTCAACAACACCGTGTCTTTATCAAATGTAATATTTACAAACTAACTGCTACTACATATATACCGACAAATGACAATAAAACCTTAATTAATGTTGTGAGAATTTAAGGTTAATAATGGAGAGATATTTAAATCTAAGTGAGAGTTAAGCAATACATTTGAATGTCTCATTTTGTTAATCTCCATTTATACTTTTTGTGGCTGTATGTAAATATCAAAATTGTCGTCAAAAATGTGTTTTTCTGTGTTTAAGTAAGTAGCATAATTAGAATCTAGACTATTGTTTTTAAACGCTCTTTTATGTTCGTTAATGCATTTCTTGAAGGATCTACCTGCTTGTCCAATATAAATTTTAGGACAAGATCCGCATTTCAACCTGTAGACACCTGATTTTTGAGATTTTGAACACTTCGTTTTATTGTTTTTTTAAAAATTTTCCTATTGTGTTCTTAGTTCTGAAAGTTATTTTTAAACCACAAACCAAAATTTGCAATAAAAAATTTGTTGTTCGAGTTTTTTATTGCAAACGGACTTCCTTTTCTGTTACACCCTGTATTTCTATTGATCATGGTGCCATTTTTTTCGATAACGTTGTTGCACATAAAGATGTATATTTGTTAATAATTAAAAATTTGACCGCCAAAAACCGGACGAACGGGTCAGAGAATTTTAAAAAACTCCTTGTCCACGACGCGACTTGCCTTATTTGTATACCCGCAACGATCGCCAAAAGAATGCTCGAATAATTCGTTTATGTGGCGGAAATGACCTCCAATGAATTTAATTAATTATAATTTTTGTTTACAAAAAAAAAATGAACGTCAGAAGTTTACTAATAAATAATTGTGGCTTTTTTACAAAAGTACAAATCTGTACCGAAAATAAGAAAAAAGCTTTCCGATGTTTTTTTTTTGAAAATGTTATTTTATACAAACGAGAACAAAAGTTAAAAGAAAACGTTTTAAAAGTACGTCTAAAGCCCAATTTGGTTTCTACATGATTTCTACATGTATTTTTTCATTATAATTAAGGTTTGATGCCTTTCGAGAAATTAATATAAACATTCTATATATGTATATAATACAATTTCTACACATTTATTGATTAATTTTTTTTTACAATTAAATTCAGCTCATATTTAAATTATCAAGTTGTCCAAGATACTGTCAATATCTAGCGTTAATACTGTTTCAAGAAAACTCATTTATTTCCAGAAACAAAAATTAATTTATCGCAAGTATATGTAAAAGGTGAAAGAAATCCGTTAATATAATTATCATAAAACAATTTCAAATATAAAATAATAGTTTCATATCACACAATGATTCACTTTAGCATGATTTATATAAATATTTTTCACTTGCGTTCATAGTTAACCCTAAGGATATTGCATTATTTACAAGAAAGTTTCTATCAATTTTATTTTTATTTTATTTTTGAAAAATAATTTTGAAACTCACGATTATTTTTTTAAATTTTTTCCTGAGTGAACTAGAACATAAACAAATGAAAACTTCTAGAGATCTCTTCTGTAAAATTATATAATTATACATCAATACAAAACTCTCTCTCCTAACATACATATTGCCAAAATAACAAAACATATTACAAAATTTTTAGTTACATAAACTGCAACAGAGTAGAATGCACTTGCATGCTCATCAAAATAGAGGAATCTAAACAATTTAACCAGCTTATTATTAGTTCGACGAGTGGAAACAAAACACCAAAACATTCACCATATACACGGTGTCCAAATAGTATGTCAAAGTAATATATCTCATTTATTATGTGTTTTAGAAAAAAATATTAAATACAAGACTAAAAGAAAATTCAAAATTATTTGTAAATATACAGGATGATTCATAAATACGTGTTAAACAAAGCTTTTTTTTTTAAGGATGATTTAATAGATACTCCCTTTTATACTCAATTAATATACTGAGTTTTTTTGAATTTGTGGTCGTTTTTTCGTAATGAATGATAAATAAATAATATTGAATTTTAGTATTATCCCTATCGTTTAAATCCCTAATTGGTTTAATCTCAGATTTAAAAAATTATTTCCGCATTTTTCTATTTAACATTTTTCTCAAAAACAAATAATAAAAAAATGCAAAAAAAATTTCTCTTAACAATCTTAAATGCTATTTGTTACGACGCTACCGAAAGCAAACGTCACCAATTTATCATAAACACCTTTTTATTTTCTTCGTCCATGATTTACAATAACCCCGTAGCATGGTAATGAGCAAGACAAGCAAAAACATACCCACCTGTGTTCGCTCCCGTCACAATGGCCACTTTTCCGACCAGACACACCGGGCTCCTACACCAGCCGGTGGTCAATTTAAAAAAGAGTTTAACGCTAAGGAAAACAATTACCACGCCCAGAACACTAAACAAATAACTCAACATTTTCGTTTCTTGTAAACGAGAACCCGGACGTTTCGCCCGGGCCTATTCGTTCACCGAGTTTGACAAAACTGTCGAAAGTTTCGAAGACATGATAATATTTGTTTATTTTGGAACGCGTTTTAACTATACGTCTGCTTGACGCGAGGTCAGCGTACTGCCGAAAATCGATTCAATGCAGAGGTGGACCACGCAAGCGGCGCTGTTTCTGCCGCTACAGGTGCTCGAGCTTACATTTCTTCTAGAAGTGCATCACAATTATTTCTTACTCGTTTTTTGAAGTTTTAAATTCATGTATCTATGTCCTACTTTTTATGAACAAGAGAATAAAAATAGAAATGTAATTTTTTTAATAAACAAAAGTTTGTAATTTGAGTAAAATTGTTACAATAGTAGGGAATGTCAAAGAGCGTCTACGGTCAGATCGTCCAAAAACTACAGAGAACACACGATTAAACATTTTGATAGAAGTTGAAGATAATCCCCATCGTGGATCCTTTGAAGTAGCCTCAAAAAAACGATGTATCATCGTGTAAAGTATCATCCGTACAAGATTAAGTTACTACAGGACTTGAAGGAAGACGATCCCGATCATAGACAACAGTTTTGCGAAACTATGAAGGTTAGGTTCAACTTAACTGATGAAGACACGTATTGTAATCCTCATCATCCACAAAAAATGTTTGGGCAAAACAAAATTATTTTTTCTACTCCCGTCTGTAAAATACCTAATTACCCACCGATCTAGCGTGCGGGAAGCGTCACTTTACCACGTCAGTTTCCTTTCCCACGAATCCGAGCCACTTCGGACATTTCCGGGATTTTGCCGCACGGGTTTGGGAGCAATCGGATGTTTTCGGTGATATTTGTCACGCTTTGAATTTTGACGTTTGTCAATTCTGACGGTCATCTCAGTGCATGTATTCGTGTTGTTTTACGAAAATGTACCCAAAAACTAACGGTCGTAGAAAAAGTATAGTATGCAGCACGTTCGGTAAACTTTTTAACTCACTCGTTTATTAAACACTCGCTCCGCTCTTGTCAAATAAACTCGTTTACCGCACTTGTTGCATAATAAAATACCTAATTACCCATCGATCTAGCGTGCGGGAAGCGTCACTTTACCACGTCACTTTCGTTTCCCATGATTCCGAGCCACTTCGGACTTTTCCGGGATTTTACCGCACGGAGATATTTCCCACGATTTGAATTTTGACGTTTGTCAATTCTGACGGTCGTGTCAGTGAATGTATTCATGTTGTTTTGCGAGAATGTACCCAAAAAATAACATTGGTAGAAAAAGTATAGTATGCAACACGTTCGGTAAACTTTTTAACTCACTCGTTCATTAAAAACTCGCTCCGCTGCGCTTCGCTCTTGTCAAATGCCGTTTATCGCACTTGTTGCATAATATACTATTACTTTATTTCTTTGATCAAAATGTTACTGGAATCCGATATCTACAGCTTCTTCAAAATTCCTATTTTCGCAGTTTTTTTTCCCAAATCCAGATTTGGTTTCAACAGGATGGTATTTCCATGGCCGTGGAAGAATATTAATTAAATGGCCTGCAGGATCTCCAGATATTAATCCAGTGGATTTTCTTCCTCGGAATACTTAAAATCAATAGTATATATGGAAAAACCACAAAATTTAAATGATTTCAAATATGAATTAGATATTAAATACGGCAAATTAATGAAAATATTCTGAGTAATGTTTTGGAAAGATTTTTTGATGATTTAAAATTTTATTAGAATTAGACACTAAATAAGAGAAATGTTTTGGAAGCATTGTGAAACTGTGGATCTTGAGTTGAAATGGAAATGTTGATTCACTGTTTATTAGCCGAAACTACCTCCCAAACAGGCAGCGAGTAAAGCTTGGATATATATTTTTTTAAATCCCGCTCTCAGCTTCCTTTCGTTAAGTTTTTATAAACAGTAAACAGCGAAGAATCTTGTCCAAATTTACACAAGTATGCACTAAAATAGTGATTAAAGTTCTTATATTACCTGAATTTTTGATAGAAACGGCAACACTGCGTAGCTGAAAATGCTTGATGGATTAGCAATTAAACATCTTCGATATTTTTTTGAAATTTGAACTATTTGAGTGTTCGGATTTTTTTTTTTTTGTAAAATGCGGAAGAAATTTATAACCATCGTATTTCGTTTGTTTAAAAAACTGATTAGCCTGTTCTGATGCCTTTCGAAAGCGTATGACAGTAATAGGATTTGCAGTTATCAGAAACCGTTTATTTAAGATTCTCTAGGTCACTTTGGCGGTTGCTATCGTTTGTTATGTTCATATAATATGCAAATTAAATAATTTAAATTGGGTTCCTATGCGTTATCAGTAAGCCGTCTTATCATTTCAATGCCCGCATGCGCTGTTCCAAATGCTAATTCGTTTTTACCTAAGCTAGCTCTATGATGCGAAGCTTCGCAGTGCAAAATGCATTGCCTATACAGCTTGTTTTTTTGGATTGCTTTGGGGCTGGTGTGTTTCCGAATATACCTGAAGCTGATGACAGGTTGGTGTAGAAGTCAAGTGTGTTTGGTTGGAAAAACTGCGTTGGTAACGGGTGCCAATACAGGTAAGACCGCGAGGTAAAACTTATGGTTAATAAATTATTTTATAATTTATTTCAAAAATATTGGACAGTAGTATTTTTCTGGTAATAAGCGGTTTAGTCTTCTACCATGCTGTTGTGTAATTAATTGACATTGTATCTAACATTGTGTCGTTATATAGTTGGGTAGTCGCTGGTATTGAATTTTCGTATAGTCCTGAAACATTAATACACCTGCTGGCGTGTAATCGTATCTTCACCCCCTGTTAGTAGTTTTTGAGATTTTCAATATTTGTGGAGAGTAAATTGGTTTTAACATCTTTCCAGAACAGACTTTTTAACACTATTTCATTCGTAGAATTTACAAATACATTGTCAGGACTTTAGCGTGTGTTATGGCCTTTCCCATCAGAGACCACTTAAAGTTACGTAAGGAAAGCATTTCGTTTGCAATTCAATGACTCAGTATTACTCAGAATTAATAATGATTGGGGTACAAAAAGGATCTAATGAAAGAGAAGAACATACTTTTGAAATCTTGGCTTCTTTCTATTACTTAACTCTATTTCTATATTTTTATTTTGGAGTTTTACTAGATGATGATTTCTTCTAAGAGGTTGTTGCTATTTATTTATCTTTTCATGACGTTATTGAAGAAAGGGCTTTTTCGACGCTTGTTGCGCAATTTAATCCGATAGAGGAGCCTTATCTTCAACAGAAATAAATTAATTTTCCATATTCTCGTAAGCAACAACTTCACTTCGTGATACTCTGGTACGGTTCTGCCCACCTTCAAGAAATCTAGAGAATTATAATATGGACTACGTATTATTAAACCGCTTGGTTTCAACATCAGTGTTGTCTGTATTTTTTGTGATATTCCGAGTGACTTTTCGTTCTCCTGGAACTTTTACTTTTACTTTTGAGTGGTTCACTGTGCCCAGAATCGTTGAACATTATTTATGTATTTATTTATTTATTTATTTTTGGAGCAGACTAATATAGAGCAACGCGAATTACAAAAAAGAAGAATATTTTCAAAATTCGGTAGAGTTGCTCAAAAAAATGTCTAACATAAAAATAACTTTATGGGCAAATGAAAAAGCCAATGTATACTCGAAATGAAAATAAATCTCAGTGAAATATTACAGACATTCTCTTTTTTTATTATCATCTTTGACAATATTATCACAATATCTCATGCATAGAGAGTTAGAACGTTATAAGAATTAGTCTGTTCCAAAGGGTATGAGAATTAGCGATGAAAATCGATAAGGTTATTTACTATCGTTTAAACAAAGATACCAGAACACTATCTTTTGGACTTCAATGATAATAGTGTAAAAAGGCTGCAGAAAATAGTTCCTATATCATAAAAAATTAAATAAAGAGCAAGGGCGTGAAGTCAGGAACCCTGCGAATCCCCAGAAATGACATCCAAGTACGCCGATCTTGCTGATATTTTTTTTAATGTCTACAAACCTCCCAAATTTAATAGTTAAGGACTTGGAAAAGCAGATATGAGCGACGAGTATGTGTAAAGGAAAAAAACCATTACAACAGTGAACTTCTTATCGGATTTAATTGACTAAATTTTGTGGGTCTCTAGAAGCACCCTTTTGGTCAAATTTATGATAAAATAGCTTGAAGTAAAAAATAAATTGTAACATTTGAATTTTGGAATTAGAAACAACATAATGCGGCTCCGGCTTAAATATGTTTTGCTTTTTTACTTTGTCAACTCCGAGTTTCTCCAAAAACTTTTCTTGCTGGCATTGTCAAATATAAAAATCGGTCATAGATTTGGTATATGATAAAGACCTACCAAGGAGAGCTTAGATCATCCCTAGCCCATCCTTTGTTATTTCAGATTTAGGGGTCTAGTATTTTAGACATTTTATAGCTTCTGGATAATAATTTTTAGGAATTGGTTATGAAACTGCTTTGGATTTCGCCAAAAGGGGCGCCACCGTGATCCTAGCGTGCAGGGACGAATCAAAAGCGAGAAAGGCGCGGGACAACATCATAGAAGAGACCAACAATAAGAATGTATCGTACGGTCTAGTGGATTTTCTAGATTTGGCGTGCGTCAGGAAGTTCGCCGACGAATTTAATTCGACTCACACGCGTCTAGATATTTTAGTAAATAACGCCGCCGCAGTCCGTCTGAGGGGGGTCACTACAGACGGATATTTGGCCGCCGTGCAAGTGAATTATCTGGGTCCGTTCCTGCTCACCATGTTGCTGCTGAGTACGTTCGGTTTTCGGTAGTCAATCAAAGGCGGTAAACCAATTCTGGGGTAAAATTCGGGTTAAGAGTGCAGTCCGATACGGGATAAATGGTCATGACTGTAATAAACATTTTTATCTGCTCGTAGCTATTTTTTGGTTAACAAATAGCTGTATAATAGTAATTATATAAATAATAGGTACTTTACAGAATAATTTGAATGTATGACATCAATAATATTCAAACATGGTTTTATGTTTTCCCAAGTTTATGTATTTATAAAATTTTAACGATGTTATTACCTACTGTTATTGTGTAAAGTTATTAACAAAAAATTTATTCTTACTGGAGTGAAAAGGCAGGGGTGAGTCAGGTATATGTCTTTTTTTCTGGTATATTTCTTGAGCGTTGACCATTTGTGGCAGTGCTGAACAATCGTTTTTACCGTGGTACGAGAATATAACAATGTCGCTTCGAAATCATTTGTAGCTTGATGGAAAACAGGTTGTAAAAAATGTGTATAAAATTTTAATCAGTAGACTCCTTATTCAACAAGAAGCTTTAAAAAAACCTCTCTACTTATAAAAACGCAAATATCGTCGACGTGGGATATTATTAATAGTCAAGAATGGAAGAAAATGAATAAACGTAGTGATTTTCAACCCCACAACAATGTCTTTATCAAGAGTGGGGTATTCCACTTAAAAACTACATTTGCACAATATCTCGAAAACGGTTTGTCCAAAAAATTTGTTGACTACACCAATTGGTTATGCCTAAATTGGTTATACCTATCTACAGCAGTTTTTTATATACCACCTCAAAAAAAAAAACAAAAGTTCTAACTCTGCTGTTTACTAGCAAAAAAACATCACAAAAATATCTCAACAATTTTTTTAAATCCATTTGATTTTTTTTTGATACAGTAAACCAAGCGTTTTTTCACACATTTAGTTTAAAGGCTTCCGATTTTGTTTCGACAAAGGAAATCTGCTTCAAATTGTCGTCAAACACGATGTGTATTTTTTTGCTAAACTCAAGTCGGCCACAAATTCGCCACATAGCATATAGAGATAGATAATGCTATATGCAGGGAATGCCATCTGTCGAACTCCAAATTATATGAGTGAGACGGATAGTGATTTGAATTGTTTTCTTTATCTAACACGTAGATATTTACGGCAGATAATCGTGGTAAGACATTTTTTATATTATTTCTCAATTTTCAAGCTGTTTGGGTTTACAGGCGTTAAATCGTTTAAGCTTTTAACCATCAAGTCGATTTATTTTTGACTAACTTTAACTAAATTTACCTAAATTTTGGCGAAGCCTCTGGCCGTCGCGTATTAGTGTTTATAAGCTTTTCGAAAGCTCTGACTTTAGGCGAAATAAATATAATTATCCAAAAAATAACACTTTCAATAAACTAATCATGATTCCATTACAATAATATGAAATAACTTTTTTTTAGAATTTTTACGACATCCATTTTACCTCTGGAATTACGCAAAGAGCTAAAAATGTACAAAAACCCCGAATTTAAAATTATTAGAAGAAAAAACGACAAAAAAATTTTGGTTAATTTAATATAGAATACCTATCAATTTTTTTTACACATATGGCATTATACTATCCGTTTTTGTTTTATTAATAAATAATGATTCAACCAGTTATTATACAAATAAAATATATAAGTTATACAGCATGTAATGAGAATTCATAATTCATTCATTCATAAACAACTTATCATTTTATTGTTTTCATAAATTACTAACCACCAAAAAATTATTATTATTTTTCTGCCATCTTAGATTGAAATATTAACAATGGAGTTTTATCCTCACCTTTAACTTTACATGGAAAGTTCTTGTTTTGTAGATTTGATCGTGAAAACGCCATCGGCTAGAATCGTCAATGTTTCTTCGTCTGCTCCCAATTATTCCAATCCGTTGGATATGGATTTGATGTTTGACGGTCCTGACCGCACGAAAGCCTACTATCGATCGAAATTCGGTAACATACTCTTCACGATCGAGCTGGCGTCGAGACTGGCAAATACGACCGTCACAGTTTACTCTCTCCACCCCGGTGTGGTGGATACCGACATATTTCGAAGACTACCGCCAAGCTGGAAGTTTGTAATGGACTATATCGTGCGGTGGTTTATGAAAGTAAGAAGAAACATCCAAAAAATGTCCTTACTACACGACACAAAAATAAACACCTCGCTTTCAGGTGTGAACAGTAATTTTTTATTTATTGATTTACGGGATATTCCAATTATGTGTACTGATATTGCTAATTTGCTAAATATTATTAGATAAAAAATCTAGCGGGCTTTCTAAGTTGTTATTATTGTTTCATTTAGTATGGCTCGGTTCCTTTGAATACAAATACTGGTACCCAACTCAATTATTTGTACATGCTTTACATTTTATTATTTAATTTGAAAACTGCAAGTTTTACTTAAAAAACTGGATAAGATAAGCGTGTTTAAATAAAAAACAAATCCAGACAACAGTAAACTAAAAAGTTTCAAAACATTTGTCAAAATGTGGTTTAAAAATAGCTTTCAGAACTAACAACACAATAGGAAAATTTTTAAAAAACAATAAAACGAAATATCCAAAATCTCAAAAATCGGGTGTCTACAGGTTGAAATGCGGATCTTGTCCTAAAATTTATATTGGACAAACAGGTAGATCCTTCAAGAAACGCATTAACGAACATAAAAGAGCGTTTTTGTTACACACTTAAACACACAAAAACATATTTTTGACGACATATTGATATTTTACATGCCATGGCCATGGAGATTAACAAAATGAGACAATAATCAATTAGATTTAAATACCTCTCCTTTATTTAACTTAAATTCTCACAACAACATTAATTAAAGTTTTATGGTCATTTTTCGGTGTATGTATAGTAGCAGGTTGTTTGTAAATATTACATTTGATTAAGACACGGTGTTGTCGAAGCAATTGTCATGTCAAAATATATAATTTCGTGAAAATCTGAACTTTTAGTTCGTATTTATTTTGATTTTCTATATAATTTGTTAATTCCTTAGCCTGTACTGTCTATCTTGAAACTTTAATTGCGTTCGTTATATCGGCATTTCTCTTTCTTTTAATAATATCCATTGTTCCATCTTTTCTTTATTTTGACAATCATGCTTTCATAAGGCGATAAAGTTACGTTACACTCTTGCGCTTTCTATCGAGGAAATACGACACGTCAACATCTGTTTCAGACCTCTTTGGAAGGCGCCCAGACGACCATCTATTGCGCATTACAAAAAGGGATCGAGTCGTATTCGGGGGAGCACTTTGAAGACTGCCATTTTGTCAGCCGCTACGCACCGGTTGCGAAGTCCGTCGACCAAGGCACACACAAGCTTCTATGGGACAAAAGCGTGAAGCTTCTAGGCTTGGACGTGACTATTTAATAAGCGCATCAAATTTGTATTGTAATGTTTGTTTAAATAAATTTATTGTTGCAATAAAATCGTTTAATTGAAAACCATTCGTGATCACGTTTCGATTAAATTCCTGGGCTCGTGCAAACTGTCTGTTTCCATTGCAGGGTTTCATGGTGGCGTTGTTCTACTGTTTCCTCAACATGGAAGTGCAAAACACGCTCAAGCATCACTTCGAAAACTGGAAGACCAAGAAATCGCTGGGACCAAATCGGCTCAGGTCGAGCAGTAGGAGCAAAGATTGGTCTCCCAGGTCGAGGACCGAGAGTATAAGGTGACTATTTCAAGGGATTTTTCGTGCACGTTTTTCGTTTGAAAATGTTGATCGCTATTAATGATTTCTTTACGCCTTAACATCGGTATCCTTTATTGCAAATCGAAAAATTTTATTTTATACAATTCATCTCAAGTAACCATTTCCAACACTATAATGAGGAAACCTTTATACTATTTACAAACCTTTCGTTGGCTTCTTCGGAACTTAACTGAAACTGGCTCTAATTTGGAGGAAGGAATATTCTTTGGTTGTTTAATTAATTTAATATAACATTAAAACCATATTTAAAACATATTTTAATCTCACGACATCTTCGATCCGTCAAAGACAAAAGTGCGTTTGAGATACCTGGAGTTTACAGCATTCAGATTAAAAGAAATAGCCTTAAAACTTTGACAAATAAACCCATCAGCAGTTGCCGAACACAATCATCAAACCGGATTTCAAATTTTATTAGATAAAATTAAAATTCTTGCATGTAATCAATGTTTTTAGCAAAGAAAAATCCGAGAATCTATAGAAATCTATGAGCAACCAAACACTCTTTATCGCGACTCAGGTTTTACATTTCACTAATATGGAGATCAATCATCTCAATGTTACTGCCCTTCCTTTATCGCCGCTCAATTTATAACTCGGTTATCAATTGTTTCAATTAAGCTCTGAAGAAGCCAACAGGTTGTAAACGAAACGTCAGCAAGTGTGACAACCGACGCAGAAGAGTTATAAATAGTATGTGCAAGTTTTGGCATGTATTTTTAAATTTGCATAACTAAACAAACAAATAAGCTCCATAATGCATCACAATATCTAACTAACTAACCAAAATCGTTAAAGAATTTTAAGTTTTACAAATAATATTTAAATATTTGGAAAATTGTTTGATGTGCAAAGTATTTTGCGTCTATGGTATAACTATGGTAGCCCTAGAATTATAAGAGAGTAATCCAAACTGATTAGGTAGTCCGGCGTCTCCCAACTTAAATCGCAGGTCAAAAATATCGCTAATGATCTGACTATTATGGCTACAGCGCAGGCCTGAAAACTTCTATCTTATGAAACTTTCACAAAATCGATGTAATTTTGTTGTGGACGCACCCTGTATAAAGTGTCTTTCACATCTCGTCCAATTCCAAAGCAAACTTTGGTAAATATGAAATTTGCACTGGTAATTGCGATTTAAAAATTTTTTTTTCAAATATCTCGCGCACCCTGTATGATACACGAAACTTAAAACTCTCTCCGCACAATTTACGATACTGTTTAAAGCAAATTCCGTTGGCTGGTTACGCCTAATAATTTGCCCACACAAATCGCAATTTTCAAGATATTTTTGATTTTTTTGCCCACAATCGACACACCCTGTATATAATTGAAAAAATTCCCGAAATAAAAGTGCGAGAATTTTTTCAATAGGGGTTTGGGAGAATATATGCAGTACGCGGTGCAGTCGGTGACGTCATCGTGCCTAGACTGACCCCAAGGAATGGCGATTTTCATATGGATTTCTTCAAATATCTCGAGCAGCAGTTTCTATTGTTTAAATGTGGGCACGGGCTTTTACTTCTCTGCTAAATTTGAAGTCGATATCTGCTTAACAGATGTCTTGTATAGCACGAAATATCGGGAACATCCTTTACAATATGTGTCTATACGGGTCATATCGTCACGTAAAAGAAGCTAATATCCGAAACTGTAACACTTCAGAATTGTTACTTTACTGGAATACGATACGATTCTAAGCGCCTTTTTTTCCTGCCTCACCGGCAAACACCTGAGTTGTTCTGACGTCCGCGCTACCAGGCTAAGAAAGTCGTAATTTAATTCGCTTTATTTAGTTGTTATTACCAGTGTTTCAAATACACACTTCTTAATAAATAGTCTCCTTAAAACTATACCCTTCTATCAACGAATAATTAATTGAACCCGACAGCGGAATATATTCTCTTGAAGCGTATCTCCTTGAAGCCCTGTACTCGCCTTAGAGCACCCGTACCCCCTTTAGGAGGGCTCGCGTTTCGGAGGCTTCTGGATTCACGTATTCGGGGAGGATCCAAACTTCGAAGTTCCTATGTTCTCTGGATATTGGAGCACATTTGAATAATTGCTTGACTACCGGCTCACTTGATAGATCTGCGCGAGGTCAGACACCCCCTGTAGGCTGCACTGTTCGGGAAATAAACGAGGTGACGTCCAGTTCGATGTAAGCGCTACGCGAGATATTGTTAGTGGTGATCACCTAAGGGAATTGGACCTTTTTTTTCCTTTGTGTATTTCTATTATTTCGGGAATTTCGTATTAAACGGGCTGTCAACTTGTTGCGGGGACGGCAATTGAATTTTGCGGAGTTTAGGTCGGTATGTCGCGGATTTGTAGTTTCTCATTATCGAGGCGTAATAAATAACGTAGACCAGTTTTCATCTGTCTCTTTTTTTGTCCCCTTAACCTTCACGACTATCTTTTATCGATTGTACCAATTTAAATTTAATGGTAGGTTTCATCGTTAATGTTCTCTTTTTTGTAAAACATTCGGGTTCCTCACACCATCTGAGAAACTGGAAGGTCTGCTACTTCCTGGCGCCCTAAGAATAAATAGTGCTATATTTTCTTTATTATTCGTGGATCCCCCCCCACTATCGCTCCAGAACTCTGAGCACTACGGGTAACTAATTTGCAAGCACCCAGCGACCCAGTTTTGCAAGAAATTCAATCTTTTTTTTTTCATTTATTTACCCCTTTTTTTTTTCTTTTTTTTTCCTTTTCTGACCAGTATTTCGCGTTGATTTTATATACGATTTAGACCAAGAGGTGCGTGGCAAAACACTGTCTTTTAGTTATAGCTTTAAGTTAAGATCTTTACCTTGTATTATTTTCTGTGGTTGCCTTCACGGTCCAATTCTCGCACCGAAGCTTTCTGCATTTGTTCCGTACTTGATTTGATTGTAGATTGTAGGTATCTCACAGATGACATCAATTCAGTGATTTCTCCATGAAGCCGTAGGGTGACGTGTCTTGGTGTCTACAGACTAGAGGGGGGACAACACAGATTGTGTATCCACATTAATCTTTCACCATCGCTGATACAAAGCATTTGTCATAGGTGTAGGGAGATGGAATGTAGGCTTTTGGGGACGTAACATTTTACTTTGTTTAGAAGTCACTCAGAATTCGTCCTACAAAAATGTTAAAGAATTTATTTGCGTCCTAACCTCCAGAGATGATTCCCCGAACCTGCGTAATAGTACCTGATAGTACCTCTGTGAGGATATATATTATCTTCCTTAAAAACTGAATATTTAAGGAACCGTCTCTGCATGAATCAATCAATCAAGGAATAGTATAGAAGTCTAATATTTGCAACTTCTTATTCCAAAAACCGACGCACTTATGAGGTATAAAAGTAAATCTGGAATCTAAGACAATCCTCAAGTCTTTAACCTCACTTAATCGATTCAATATAGTTCCATTTATTACGTAATTGTTCAACTTTCTAGAGCAAGTAAGCACATTACCCTTAAAAAACGTTTAAACCTAATCCAGCAGAGATCACTCTGATTTAACATTAATGATATCCTGAAGCGACAAGCAATCTTGGTTAGGATTAATCCTGCTATAGATTTTTAAATCGTCAGTATATACTAATTTAACTTACCAATTAGATCATCAGTAAAGACGACAAAAAGAAGGGAGCTAAACTCCTCGTATTGTTTGAATTGTTTTTCGAATGCCCTCAGTGTTTAGACATCGGATAATATTTTTTTGCTCTCTTACTGTTATGGGGCTACTATACATATGGATTTTAGCATGCTTGATCGCAAATTTATTCGAGTTATGTTCGCATGTCGGTTCGCATGTTCGGTGTCGTTAGTACGCAGAGAATGACAGACTGGACGCTGCTTGCACCGGAAGACATCGAGGAGATGGCAAACATACGTGAGTCGCATGGCAACGGCTCGCTGCTTAATCACCATCACAAATGACCTCCAGTTCGGGGGTTGATATCGCCGGGGCGCTGCTAATTTTTCGACATAGGGAGTACGTTTTTACTTTAATACTATGCGGGGTGTCTCCAAGTGAAATGGCATGTATTATTGATCGGGGCGTCTAATATTATTGCTATAATACCGAACTCGGATCTGGAAGTTATCTAGAGGTGTATCTAAATGTTGATAGATGTTTCATCGGGGCACAGGTCCGGACTGGGTTTGTTTTATTTTATAATAAATTCGATGTTGTTTTCGATTTTCCGAAGCAAAATAATAACAAATTCAATAATGTAAAGATACAAAGTTACAATATTAATTTGGGTCAATTTCAAAGTTATTTTTGTCTCGAATTGCTGATTCGATTTGGTATATAGCTTAAAATGTCGCTTAAATTTTCAGAAACGATTTTCAATTAAATTCAAGTTTTACGCGTATATAGAGTTTGTCACATTCTGTGAGAATTCCTGTCAACAGTTTAAGTCGATTCATAGCCTTTTCTCAGCATCGTTTTTCTTGTTCACATCTTTATCTCTGTTATTAAATTAGGTCCGGAATTTAATGTCAAACAAGTATATTTTATAATGCCAGATGACATTACGCAAGAATCGTTCATAATTATTTAAATAAGACCTTGGACTGGCTCCCGCACAATCCAGACCTTAGCTCGATAGAATATTTATGGGATTAAGGGGCCTCCTTCTAGGATGTAGGAAACATTATATGGGAAATATGAACTAACATCTATAAAACACTAACGTGTGGTTATAAAGTGTAGTTGGAGGAAATTCTGAATTTCATTTAATAAGTCAGGTAAAGATAAAAAGCAACATTTTGCATTATATATTGACTGGATTATATATCTGAAATCTAAACGATGGGAAATGGGAAATCAACTTTACGCACTTGGAGTATCCAGGCCCGGACTTTTTTTTTTGGGTTATTTTTTTTAATACTGCCGTGAGTAATTTATATACATTTATTTTAATTTATGTTATTCTGTAACCAGATCACGATGAGCGGTAGGAAGAGCCCTGACCTTTGGACCGTGCCCACGTTGCCAACCAAATGAATAGCATAATATTGTCGACGTTTCAACGCAGAAGACTGATATGCAAAGCCACACACAAAAAGAACCTTTTATTAAATAGTATCTAAAGAACGGATTCTAGATCTAAGTAAAATTTTTTCCAAAGAAGTAAATTTAAGTTAAGAAGTTAATTTAATAGAAGCCATGTTGAATGAAATACCTTTTCATGCCGTCACACAAACATCCCAAAAAATTTTTATATCTGAATGAACATCGAATTATAAATTTTAACCACGATTTAGCTCTCTGTCTTATGGGTAGTTGAATATTAGGAGATGTGCTTTGGTTGTCTACGACACGCCCAGTTCAGAAGTGTCTTTAATCAAAACAGGCTTTGTTCGGTAGGCTCTATAGTCAACCTACCAATTTCTACCACAAGAGGGAATCTTGCACTTCCGAAGTGACCACCACGACCCTGGTGACGGTCAACGGCGGGCCCCAGGCCCGAGCCAGCCCCTTTTTGCATCCCCCCCGGACCAGTTATGGCGGCAACGTCTAAAAGCGTCGGTTAGATGGCTACGATGCTTCACGATAGCAGAGATGTTAAAAGTTAAGAATAATTCTGAAAAATTGATGAGGTCTCTGTTCCCGGTCAAAATTTATTTGCTGTTATACCAAAGTTTACAGGTCATATACATAATGTATTATCATCATTACAATATATATTATAATTAGTATTATGGTATCATCAGACTCTACTGAGCTTTTTATATTTAAATGATAAAGTTTAATATTATACGCTTTGAAATATGCCCCTTACAGTTTGGTAAATTTCAACCCTCATGTCTAATGACCGAGAGGAAAACTTTCACATGGTTTTCTGAAAACCGCATTTTTTCCTCTAAAATATTTTTAATAAATAAATTTAAAAAACTCTTCGAAAAATACTAGTTCCACATTGAGCGAATCTTATCTTCTGTTGTCAGCTGACGCAACTGAGCGTCCAAAACTATCAAATTTTTCAAAGCGATTTTCGCGCACCTTAAGCCCTTTTTCCATTCAAAATTTAAAAGTATTTAAGCTCCACTGTGCTCGTTTTTCAGATACTCTCCAAAAGTTCCCTTAAAGTGTTTACATAATATTTATTGAATTTTGTTTCTATACTTAGTTACCAGAACTTTTAGGGATGGAGAGGTCAACGAAATCATTGCAGAGTATCTGTCAATTACAGGCAGTTGGAACGATCGACTGTTATAATGGTTTCAGCTCCATTTATTCCAAGACTGTCTCTACTCGGTTTAGATGATTTCCTCTTCTGATGCAGCCATTAGCGTTGTGTCATCTGTATATCTCATTGGGATTCCTCCATACCATTCCCTGTTGGTCTTGAATGGGAGCGAATGCTGGTTTCCTATTCTGAGCTTGGCTATATTGAAGCAACTGAAACATCTAAAAAAACATCAATATCTTTCTCCAAATATATCTAAAAGTCTTTAGCAGAGCTCAATAACCCCTGTTTCAGTGTGATATGTTTGGTATAACTTCAGTGCTATGCTTAGCTTCAGTTTTTATGAAGATTTGCTTTTCAATTTCTTTAAAAGATAAAATTTTGAATTTAAAACTGTAATTAAAATAAAAATTTTATTTTTTTTACTGTCTAAAGTAGCTCGCCAAAATAGACCTAACTTTACTTCCTTTTATAGATGATCCAGACCAAAAAAAATTGTTTAATAAAAAAATTAGTTGTTTATAGACCACTTGTGTATTGTTCTGTACACTTTGGTACCAATGTTATCGTTTTCCCAGCCATTCGAAAACCTCGGTTGTTACCGCATTTTTGCCTATAGTCTAAGTAAGATTTCACATAATGTTTTATATTATGTATATGAACGTTTGTAAATATTTTTACCGTTAAAATAAATTAGTGTACACTGAATAAATAACACTGGAATATTTGAAAATTGCAACTTATTTTCGAACGAATTCACTCCATTTCATTCATCATACTGTCTGCATATTTAAATTTATATAGTTATAATGAAACGAGTATACCTGACTGGCTACCTATAAACCAATAATAATAAGTGTTATCTGTAAATAGGCAATTTTAAATAATTTTACGTACACCTTTAACGACTTAAGTGTTTCGTACAATCTATAAACTTTCTCGTAATGTTTATATATTTTTCATATGTGCGTCATCCGTTTTCCGATGTAAACCCCGTCCCACGTTCCTCGTACTAGATAGGTAGTGATAGTGTATTTTTTCCTTTGGTATGAATCCAAACCTTACTTACGATATTGTTTATTTTTTGTTGTAAACGTTCCAATATTTATATTGTACAATAAAGACAATTTTCGATTATTGTTATAGTTATTTTTCTCACCTGTCACTTTCACTTTGAGTTTTTCTTGATATTAACTGTCAACCTTTTCGACATTTTTTTTGCTGTTACTGGCTGTATACAGGGTATTTTTTTATGTACGCAACATATAAACTGCTGCAGGTTACTTTTTGAGTGAGTTAATGTGAATTTCGTGCAGAATTGCCTCCTGAACCAAACCTACGTATTTCAAAATAGCTCGTAACCTGGAATCAATTTATGAATTGTCGAATATAGACGAAGCCATCAAACACAAACAAATGAATGTCGATAACGCGATGAACAGAAGCGAGGTGTGTCTACCAGCATGGACTTGAAGAATGTCATAATTATATTTCAAAAACATGACTTTTTATGTTACCGCGGCTTTAAAGTCATTTAATAGACAGTATTATTTGTATTATTTGAAAATAAAACAATACAAAACCTCACATATATAGAATATATAGGGAATGTCTAGCCAATTTATGGCAACAGCCAAAAATAGGTCGCAATGTTAGACCGCACCTCAAAATTACATAGACCCATAAGTTGATCCTCATCTGTGCTGAAGACCCTAGAAAAGCTAGTGGATATGTACCCCAGGGACAGCACATTACAGACTTTGCTGCTAAGTGAGCGTGAATACGCTTACCAATAGAGGAAATCCAGCTCTGGATGACCTAAATAGGCCGCTATCCAAGACATTAGAAGATAAGGACATGGCTGTGGCCACCACTCATCGAGGGAGCGTCAGCAAATTCTATTACTAGAACGCTAAAAGGAGGCTCCAATGGTAGAAAAAAGAAAACAATAGAATAGACATGACGAGATTCTAGGATAGACAACCATAAATGGTGAGTAGTTTTTCCCCTCGGCTATGCTGTCTGCAGAGGGCTAGATATGCAGTCGAGCAACTTATTAAAAATCACAAGACTCAAATATCGGCAAAAGAAAATTGTAAAAACGCCCCACCAATAAGGCCAGTTATAATCTACTATGGTGGAGATCCAAGCCTGGACAAAGAGAGGTCGAGGAATTCCTCAAATTTACAGAAGACTTGTTACGCCACAAAAGAAAGCCCGTAAGAAGAATTGAACTGAGGTGGCTTTTGATGAAAATCCATTTATCAAAATAAATGAGAACTAAAAGTTCAAATTTTCACGAAATTTCACAATATTTCACCAAGATTTCAACAAGATTTCACCCTAACTCGGAAAAAAGTTAACCCATTGATGAAACAAGATTTATTAGATTGCTTAATAATCTTTAGACCAAAATTACTTTGAATTTAATAGACAGATTTACACCTCTAAGGAAGGTTTGATTATGGGAAACCCACTTTGTTATCCGAGATTTTTATGGATAATTTGGAAAATATCATACTAGAACATCCTTTAAGTAAAAGTTTTCTATGATGGTATAGATACGTGGATGATGTCTTTGCTTGCTTTGTTGGAACGGACAACCAGTTGAATTCTTTTTTAAATTACATTAACTCATTACATAATCGTATAAAATTCACTATCGAGATTGAACACGATGACTATTAATTTTTTAGACTTAACTATTACGAAAACGCAAAACAAATTAGATTTTTCAATTTATCATAAACCTTCACATACGGACACAGTCATATATAACAGCTCAAATCACCCTTATACACACAAAATGGCTGCATTTCACTCTTTTATACACAGACTTTTTAATACGCCACTCTCAACAGAAAATTACGACAAAGAACTTAATATCATTAAGCAAATTGCACTGAACAACGGCTGCAATCCGTCCATTATAGATAAAATTACAAGTAAAAAACAAATCCAGACAACAGTAAACTCTATTTATCCGAAACCTAATACAAAACACGAACAATTTAAAACAATTACATACATAGGAGAACCTAGTCAAAAAGTTTCAAAACATTTGTCAAAATGTGGTTTAAAAATAACTTTCAGAACTAACAACAATAAAACGAAATGTCCAAAATCTCAAAAATCAGGCGCCTACAGGTTGAAATGCGGATCATGTCCTAAAATTTATATTGGACAAACAGGTAGATCATTCAAGAAATGCATTAACGAACATAAAAGAGCGTTTAAAAACAATAGTCTTTACGATTAATTAGATTTAAATTCCTCTCCTTTATTAAACTGAAATTCTCACAACAACATTAATTAAGGTTTTACGTTAATTTTTCGGTATATATAGTAGCAGGAGTAAGAAAACACTGAATACACTCTGCTAAGAAGAGGACGAAACAGCCTTGTCAGTGTGCGGTTCCATCTCTGGAGATTAACCGAACCATAGGCACTGAGGTACACCAGAGAGCCGCTATCGATGTTGTGGGGTGGGAGAGATGCACTTGGATAACGCTCTATCGCTCTGGAGAGGGTCACAATAGGTCCTCCGGCTCGCAGTGATAGCCAGACAGATTGCTGACTCTCACAATTCGAAAATCTGAAATCGAAGAAGGCATCGACTTAAGCCATATCAGAGTATTCTCACTTGAATGTTATGTACACTATAATTTGAACGTTATAAATGTATATTTTTAATTTCAATAAATATTGTTGCGAAAAATACAAAAGCATAATATATGAGCTATAAAACGATTATCATAGACCGCTCGTATTGCAATCTGCAAATTGTCTTTTATCGACACAAAGCTTTTCAGCAAAAACTATGTCCACTTATTCGCCGTTATATTTATATATAAGTCACAAAAGTGGAAAAATGTCGCCATGTGGTTGGAATCGGTACACATGGATGCATACAATATTATAAAGCTGATCGCCTTCGGGTTGTTGATCACAATGGTCATCGCTTGTCCACGGTTCTACTGCGAAACGCATCCTTGTGAAAGTGTGGAAAGTTGTCCGGAAAATGAGACGCTGGTGAACACGTATTGCGCATGCTGTCGCACGTGCGTCCCTACCATTGGTAAGTGTTTGCTCCGGACCTGCTTGGTATTTAAGACGAAAAGATATTGTTAGCGTTCGTTTCGACGAAAATGTTTGTTTTGAGAATAATTAGTGTTTTAGAAAGATGGAAAAGATAATTTAATTAGATAGTTGTCGATTTCTGTACTAGACAAATTTGAAGTCCTTTATTTGCAATGCATACGTGTTGACGTGGACTGAATTAATTATCAAATGCTCTTTGATATACCACTATTTAAATGTTTGGACAATGTAAGTTGCGATTGTCCTGCCGTTAAACTCCTAAAAACTAGCGGCAAAGCATACCAAAAATACTTCAGGAACAAATGAGTGGATTTCTCTGTACCAGATTCTCAATCATGATTTTGCCGATCAGAGCGTTAGTCTTTTTCGCCACCGACTGAACTAGCAATTCTTTTCTAATATTCCATTCAGTGCACACTGAGCTAAAACAGAAAGCGTTGATATTTTGGTTTTGAAGTTCAATAGACTAGCTTGATTCAGCCGTATATCCATAAAAGATCTCAACAAGTAATTTACAACGCCCAAAAAAACCTTCCAATTTCAAGAGGTCCCAAAACCGATTTTTAAGACCTTGATGTAATGAGCACCAATTTAAAACTGTCCTTTTGCGAACCCCTGATCATTTCTAACTTGTCGTGTGCTGATACCGTTTATGAACCAACTTGGTTTTGAAAGTTGTCTTTCGTATTAGGAAATGACAGAAGTCCCTTAGGAAACTGGATCTTTTAAATCTAAATTATAAAACATTAATCAGAAAGCAACCTTGCATCCTTTAACGAAATTTATACCAGAAGAAAACAGATTTTGGTTTTGTCTAGTCAGAGAGAACCATTATCTTCTTACGAAGCCGCTCATATACCTAATATACCAGTTGCCTAGGCATTAAAACTAAAGAAATATGTATTTGCAAAAGAACTGAATTTTATGAATGAAGATTCAACTTATCCTGGTGGTCCTCTGATATTTTCACTAGAAACTTATTTATTATAATATTATTATTTCTGCAAATGTTATAATTTAGATCTTGTGTGGCTGAACGTTAAATCGAAAAGCTCACCATGAATGATACTTCGACTTTTTATCCAAACATTTTCTGTTGTATTGATAAGGTCTATGATTAATACTGTTATTAGATAAATAAATTCCGTTTATTATTGTTATTATTCAGTACCAGTGCTACATGTATTACTTTTGTCTGTTTCACTCAAGGTTATATTATGGGGTAGTTCCTTTTGTAGTGCGGATACCGTCTACTGCAAATCTTCCTCAACTTGACAAATTGGTATAATGAAAATGAAGAAATTAAATTATCCAAGTGGGAAAATAATTCTTTAGATTTTAAGATTTCTAATTATCTCCTGTACTTCAAGAAACCGCTTTAATTGGACCTGTGTTTCTAATGCGTAACAGAATATTTAAAGCCCGAGTTTTTTTTGTATTTTGTTTTGTTTGTTCAATTAAATGTTGTCTGTGATGTCTTATACAATTGTTGCAAAGTTGCAGAAAGTGCTTTTCCGTCAAAAATATCAAACGTAGGTGGTTTTTTTTTTACCAATTTGTGTGCCAATGACTGGGAACAAATAAGCACTGCTCAGAAAAAAGTTTGTTCCAAATATTTGTCTTATTACAGGTGAAGGCGGGAGATGCATTATTTTCAATGGGGTACCGCCTACTTCCGTATGTGACCGGAAGTTGAAGTTGACATGTTGCAACGGCACCTGCGAAAAGACGTGCGGTGAATAAATACAATATTTTGGCAAAAATAAAAGTATTTAGTGCAATAAATAAAATATAAATGTTTGAAGACAATTAATTTTTTTCACTTTTCTGAAGTTGGCACGTAATATCTAAGCTATTTTTGCTAAATCACTCCAGATTCATTTCTGAATATAAACCCAATAAGTTATATACTACTACTATACTTATATTCGCAAAAATTTAGTCCATAGTTATGAAAATATATTTTATTAGCAACTTTTACTTAATTAACACAATAAAATAATATTTATATAAATAATATTTTAGTGATATCATTTAAGCCCCTTCTGTTTTCTTCTATAGAGTAAATCAAAAAAATTAGTCAGACTAGCCATAATGTAATTATAAGAAAAAATTATTTAAAATATAAAATATGAATTCATATTAACTTTTAGAACACATTGAGATGATATTGAACTGAAACCTGAACAAAAATTTCCTATGATCTACATGATACTATTATTAAATGAAAGGGGGTTCTTAATTTCAAACCCTACGAATATTGCTATATTCATTGAATCTCGTACCATCTATGGAGCCATATTATTTTTTTTATATTTGGTCCCTACCTTTATGATTATATTTATATAGTTCACCCATCACAAATATATTAAAACTTTCTGAAAGTGTCGTGAAATATGGTTTTTCTATTATGTTTTTCACAATTAAGATAAACAAAGCCTTGGATACTGAAAAGCTACCCAAGAATTAATCGTATATTGTTACAAGTGTAATATTTTTCCAAATAATATTTTACATTGAAAGAATATTAGCTCACGAGTCGCAAAATTGTTTTGTTGGTTATAAGTTTGCTACTGTATGCTCTGATTCTTATTAATTTATACTGGCCAGAAGACTGCGTTCATTTAGAAGGTTCATACAGCACATTGTTCACAATTAGGGACGCGTAATTTTGTTGGATGTTGGTTCATATGACATTTCCAGGCACAATCACACAGTAATAATATCACAAAAATATTGATTTATATGTATAAATTGTAACAGAATAGAATATACTTACAGGCTCGTGCAAATTGAAGATTTCCAACATTTTAAACCAGCTTATTGTCATTTTTACAACCAGGAAGACAACATCAAAACAAATTTTATTATAAGCGAAGACCTGGAAATCGGTGTTCTTGGATATTTTGTCGGAATTTATAACGGCAAAATTAGTGTTTCTTTAAAATCCTTTGGACAGTACTACAGGGTAGTCTCAGACTATGTCTCGAATGGAATTATCATGGTATGCTTCAAAATGTCCAGGAACACCAATTTCTTCACTTATAATAAAATTTGTACCGTGACAATTCTATTCGAGACACAGTCAAACACTCTAACCTATCCTGTAGTGTTGTCCAAAGGATTTTAAAGAAACACGAATTTTGCCGTTATAAATTCCGACTAGCTCAGGTGAGAGAAGACTGTTTTCTGTCTGCAGCCAAATCATAAATAATTTTCGATATATTTTGTGGACTGCGGAACCAAATATTTAAATTCTGGAATTCATAATTCAAAAAATTGTCACTGTTGGTATAATTGGTTCTCACATTGTTCTGGATGGTTTTCTAGATGGGCTTCACCTCATAATTAGGCAGAATCTAGATTTCCAACAAGATGGCGCGCCAGCTCATAATTTCCGAGGCACATATTAATTTTTATCAACCATTTTCAACAATAAATGGTCAACAGATATAACCCCACTTAATTTCTAATTATGGGGTTATTTAAAGGACGAATTTTATAAGAAAAGATAACACAAATTGACGTTTTAAAGGCTGCAACGAGAGAAAAATAAACCAGATATATGGTAGAACAATTCGCTCAATAGAAAAACGTGCTCCAAAATGTATTGAAGTACATGGTGCAGTTAAACACCTCTTAATCATAAATTAATATGCCTAAAAGAGAAATGTGCTGATAGAGTAAAAAATATTCAGAGTATTCTATTTAAAAAGAGTTCATTTTTTTATTTTCAGTTATAATCAGTGGAAGAAATGCTACTACTTTGCTAATTTAACCGACTTTTTAGCTCTACTCATAAAAAAACAGCAATATGTGTGACATTTTGCGCTCTCAACACAAATAGCTACTTGTTACCAACTTGTGGTTAGCAGTAGCGCGGAGAGTGACATTGAAGGGCCAGCGATTAAAGCTAGAGGACGGGGCTATTTAAATAATGTTTTATCGTCGCAAATGCGTACGGTTTGCAAAAAAATATTTACTCGACATACGCCGTATAAAAAGGCGGAACTTGATATATCGTCGATGATACCGTCAACGACTACACGCCACAATGAAATTGCCGCTACTGACGACGGTAACAACCCTACTACTTGTTCTGATACTGACCGTTACTTGTCAAGAACAGCTAATCGTCTGTCCGCCCGATTACTGCCTCACAGTCAAATGCGTGAGTGACGAATCCTGTCCTAAAAACGAAACGTTGGTACCGACCTTCTGCGGATGTTGTCGGAGATGTGTCCCAATCATTGGTAAGCATCCATTCTCCCAGATACGGACGTTAAATACAGGTAATACAAGAAACAGAAGAAATCTGCAGCATATTTGTCAAATTAAGTTTATATTTTAACAAATGATCCTGTAGATTTTGTGTGTTTCGTGCATAACCTGTATATTATAATGTTTACAAACTAGCATCGTATGAATTGAGATTTCCTATTAGTTCCATATCCTATAGAATTCCATAGTAGTAAATGAATTTATTTTTTTTTGTTTGAGACCATTTGTAATGTACCGAGTAAATTAAATATTTCAAGATTTTTTCATTATATGAGGATATTACAGAGCCTTGTCTTGAGCATCTTTTCCTTAAAATGAAAATGGAGGAAAATCTACTTTTGTTTCAACTGATTATGCCGCTCAAACAAAAATGTTTGTTCAAAATATTCGTCTGATTACAGGTGAAGGTGGGAGATGTATTATTTTCAACGGGGTACCGCCTACCTCCGCATGCGACCGGAATTTGACATGTTGCAACGGCACCTGCGAAAAGACGTGCGGCGAATAAATACAATTTTTTGGAAATAAATAGAAATATTTAGAGTACAACTGTTAAATGGAATAAATAAAGTTTAAATGTTTAAAGACATTTTATTTTATTCACTTTTCCATGCCCATAATGCATAATCAGCAATTTTTGCTGAGTCAATCCAGAGTCCATTCGGAATATAAACCGAAATTTACCAAATATACACCGCATAGAAAATTATATATATTATACTACTACTATAATATATTATATATAATATATAATATAATTAAGTTAACTAATAAGTTAAGTTGATTAGTGATTTCCGGTTTTCACTGCAGCCTATTAAATGCAAATAAATTAATGTGGTCCTCCCCTTTCCAAGACAAAAGTAATTATTTTATTTATATGCGCCAGAATATAGCCCATAATTATGAAAATGTATTTTGTTTATGGGTTTTACTTAATATATGTAATAAAATAGTTTCAATTTTCAACAGTGATATCACTTAAGGAATTTCAGATTCATGATATTTTTCTTCTATATAAAAACAATTTCAAATATAAAATATGAATTGACCTTAATTTCTAGAAAACACTGAGATGATATTGAACTGAAACCAAATAAAATATTTTCCTGATAATTAAAGGAAAAAATTATTGAGACTTTCCTTCGGATTTGCTATATTTATTGAATCTCATCAACCATCGGACCATAATTATATTATCATTTATATCTGTCTTCTACTTTTTAGGAGTTTATTTATATTGTTCACCCTTGATAAATATATAAAACTTTCTGAAATTATCCTGAAATATATTGTTTATATTATGTGTTTCACAATTAAAATAAACAAAGTCTTGAATACCGAAAAACTACCGAAGAGTTAATTGTATATTGTTAGAAGTATAATAATTTTCCAAATAATATTTAACATTGAAAGAATATTAGCTCACGAACTTGCAAAAGTGTGTTATTTAGTACAATAAAGGTTTACCACTGTATATCTAAACTTTTTTGTTCACAATTAGTGACACGTAATTTTGTCTTAATTAAGTAATTAAAAAATCTTCTCCATTTTAAGAAGTCGTGTATGCAATATATACTTGTGGGTGAATTAGAACGAATAATATGTATAAATTGTAACAGAATAGAATACACTTACAGGCTCATGCAAATTGGTGATTCTAAACATTTTTAACCAGCAAACATATTTCAACAGCCATGGTTAAAAAAGTTTACACCCATTAAAAGAACCAATAAATGCAAAAATAAAATTCTGAATCCGTTAATACCATCACCACATGTAAAATAAAACGATGCGCAGGTGACGTACGACAAGTTGGACAGTCATTTTTTGGAACGTTAGCGACAAGCGGTTGTCTTACGAACTACAATGAATTTTTTCTCCAATTTGACATGACATGACATAGTAGGCGTATTTGACATAAATACAGGGTGTCTAAGTAGTGTGTCAAAGTAATAATTATTATTTGTTTTAGAGAAAAATGTTAAATGCAAAAGTTATAGATGAGAGTAAAAGAAACAATTTAAAATTATTTTCATATATATAGGGCGATACACAAATATGTGAAAAACCAAATTTATATGTTTTTTAATATAACACCCTGTATATTACAACATTAGTAGAAACTCAATCACCCAATATACAGTTGAAATGGTCCATACAGATTGTGTTTTGATTTGTGGTTATTTTTTCTTCAAAAATTCCCTATGTTTATTACCCTATATTTTTGAAGCCATTTTCGACAGCAGTAATTTTATTATGCCTACAATTTTATAAAGCAGTACAGTCATTTTAGACTTGTCTTGAACTTAGTTTGAATCGTTTATGCAGGGAGAGTCAAAATGAAAAATATTAATTTTCTTGAAAGAACCAAAAGGGACACTCTGTTTTCAAACCGTGCGAAAATATCATAATACAGAGACGAATTAAGTACAATTTCCAAACAATAGGATTAAGATTAAGAAAGGCATTATTTCTAAATTAATGGAAAGAAGAAACATTTTTTTTAAACAAAATTGACCTATATATTTTTATTTTTCTTGGGTTATTACGATATTTTCTCAATAATTGTTGAAAACTAACCAAAGCTAACTTCCACACAAGTACAGGATAAATGACCACCATTTTATACAATGTTTGGCATAATAAAAATACACCTGTCAGAAACCGCTTCAAATATATGGGGTATAGTATAGATCATAAGAACCCTACATTGGGTGAACTTGAACTAACTTGAAACTAATTTTAAATTGTTTCTTTTAGTCTTGTCTATAACCTTTGAATTTAACATTTTCTTTGCAACAAATAATAAATGATAAATTGTTTAACACATGTAATATTTTTATAAAAAAACACTAGGTGCGATGCTTATAACGCAAATAGCTACTTGTTGCCAACATGTGGTCAGCAGCGGCGCGGAGAGGGACGTTGAAGGGCGAGCGATTAAAGCTAGCGTTATTGAAATAATTTTTTATCGTCGCAAATGCATACTGTTTGCAAAAAAGCATTTACTTGTCATACGCCGTATATAAAGGCGGAACTTGATATGTTGTCGATGATACCGTCAACGACTACACGCCACAATGGAATTGCCGCTAGTGACGACGGTAACAACCCTACTATTAGTTCTGATCGTGGTCGTTACTTGTCAAGAACAGCGTTTTGACTGTCCGCCCGGTTACTGCTTCGGAGTCAAATGCGTGAGTGACGAATCCTGTCCTAAGAACGAAACTTTGGTACCGACCTTCTGCGGATGTTGTCAGAGATGTGTCCCAATCATTGGTAAGCATCCATTCTTCCAGATACGGACGTTACAGAAGAAATCTGCAGCACATTTGTCAAATTAAATTTATATTTTTACAAATGACACCGTTCTTTTCAACCTAATACTATCTTGTTTACAAACTAGCGTCTAATGAATTCTGATTTCCCAAACGTTCCCAAATATGGATTTTTTTCATTATATTAAGATATTACAAAGCCCTACTCACAAAATTGTTATCCTCAAAAGGAAAATGGAGGAAGATCTACTTAGCTCTCAACCGTGAATTGTCGACTATGACGTAACCGATCATTTGTCTGTGTTATTTAGCATTTCAATAAATAAATATAAATCACGGCCCTCAAACAAAAATGTTTGTTCAAAATATTCGTCTGATTACAGGTGAAGGCGGGAGATGTATTATTTTCAATGGGGCACCGCCTAAATCCGCATGTGACCGGAAGTTGAGATGTTGCCACGGCACCTGCAAAAAGACGTGCGGCGAATAAATACAATATTTTGGCAAGAAATAAAAATAATTAGAGTACAACTGTTAAGTCTAATAAATAAAGTCTAAGTGTTTGAAGACATTTTATTTGATTCACTTTTCTGAACGTGGCGCGTAATACATAATAACAATTTTTGCTGAGTCAATCCAGAGTCCATTCGGAATATAAACCGAACAAGTGATGGATTTTACCAATGCGCGTGCTAGTGAATTTACCAAATAGACACTACTATATATATAATATATATATATATATATATATATATATATATATATATATATATATATATATATATATATATATATATATATATATATATACATATATTATATATATATTAACTAGGTTAACTTGCTTTTGAATTATCTAATAAATTAAGTTGCCCGATTAGAGATTTTCCGTTTTCATTGCAGCCTATTACATGCGAATAAATTATTGTGGAGTTTTGTCTGAATTTCCAATATTGCCGTCCTCCCAGTTGCAAGACAAAAGTAATTATCTTATTTATATTCGCGAAAATTGAGCCCATACTTACGAAAATGTATCTTGTTAATGGGTTTTACTTCATATATGTAATAAAATAGTTTCAATTTTCAACAGTGATATCACTTACGGAATGTCTGGTTCATAGTAGTTCTCTTCTATATAAAAACAATTTAAAATATAAAATATGAATTCGTATTAATTTTTAGAAAACATTGAGCTGACATTGAACTGAAACCAAAAAAATAATTTTCCTCTGATCTTAACGATACTGTTATAAAACGAAAGGTGCTTTTTAATTTAAGATCCTACGGATATTCTACCGTTATTTGGAACCATACTTATTTTTATTATTATTTATAATTACTACTTCATCAATAACTAATTTATAAAACTTTGTGAAATTATTCTGAAATATATTTTTTATATTACGTGTTTCACAATTAAAATAATCAAAGTCTCGGATGCCGAAAAACTTGCTAATAATTAGTTGTATATTGTTTCAAGTGTAATATTTAACATTATAAGATTATTGTTCACGAGTTTGCAAAAGTGTTGCTCAGTACAATAAAGGTTTGCTACTGTGTCGTTCTTGTTAATTCATATTGGCTAGCAGTACTGCGTTCATTTAGAAGGTTGGGACTGCACTTATACCAAAATATACTTGGTACGTGAAGTGCGCCTTCTGATTGATCTTTTTGTTCACAGCTAGTGACATGTAATTTTGTCTAAATTAAGTTTATGTTGGATTTGTAGTCCTAAAGTTTTGACTTACGTAAAAAATCTCCGCCATTTTAAGAAGTGGTGTATGTAATTTATCAAAATAAATAAGAACTAAAAGTTCAGATTCTCACGAAATTAGATATTATGACATGACGATTGTTTCGACCACACCGCGTCTTTATCAAATGTAATATTTACAAACTACCTGCTACTATGTATACCGAAAAATGACCATAAAACCATAATTAATGTTATTGTGAGAATTTAAGTTCAATAAAGGAGAGGTATTTAAATCTAATTGATCGTTGAGCAATACATTTGAATGTCTCATTTTGTTAATCTCCATGGCTTCCAATAAATTTAATTTTCTACTTTTTGTGGCCGTATGTAAAATATCAAAATTGTCGTCAAAAATGTGTTTTTCTGTGTTTAAGTGTGTAGCATAATTAGAATCTAAACCCTCTTTTATGTTCGTTCATGCGTCTCTTGAAGGATCTACCTGTTTGTCCAATATCCATTTTAGGACAAGATCCACATTTCAACCTGTAGACACCTGATTTTTGGGATTTTGGACATGTCGTTTTATTGTGTTTTAAATATTTTCCTATTGTGTTGTTAGTTCGGAAAGCTATTTTGAAACCACGTTTTGACAAATATGAAATTTTTGCACTAGGTTGTCCTATGTATGTAATTGTTTTAAATTGTTCGTGTTCTGTATTAGGTTTCGGATAAATAGAGTTTACTGTTGTCTGTATTTGTTTTTTATTTATAATTTTATCTATCATGGACGGATTATAGCAGTTGTTCAGTGCAATTTGTTTAATGATATTAAGTTCTTTGTTGTAATTTTTTGTTGAGAGTGGCGTATTAAGAAGTCTGTGTATAAAAGAGTTAAATGCAGCCATTTTGTGTGTATAAGGATGATTTGAGCTGTTATGTATGACTGTGTCCGTGTGTGAAGGTTTATGATATATTGAGAAATCTAATTTGTTTAGCGCTTTCCTAATAGTTATGTCTAAAAAATTAATAGAGTTATCTTGTTCAATCTCGATAGTGAATTTTATACGATTATGTAATGAGTTAATGTAATTTAAAAAAGAATTCATGTATGTAATTTATCCTTTTTTTTTCATTTCCTGAGTCAATTAGAACGACTTTTGCCACAATGTTGGTTAATATTGACGGATTCATGCACAATTATAGTTATAAATTGTAACAGAATAGAATACACATGGCTCATGCAAATTGGAGATTCTAAACATTTTTAAACAGCTTATTATCATTTTTACAATCAGGAACACAACATCAAAACATGTTTCAACAACATTGTTGAAAAAGTTTACACTCATTAAAAAAACAAAAACGCAAAAAGAAAATTCTGAAACCATTATTACCAACAATGTAAAATGAAACGATGCCCAGGTGACGTATGATAGGTTCGACAGCCATTTTTAGTGACAAGTGGTTGTCGTACAGACTACAATGAATTTGTTCTCCAATTTGACATAAACATCTATTTATTTTCTTTATCTATGGCTATGGAGATATACTTATGCGCATTGGCTTTAGCTCTATTTTATGTGGCTCTCTTGGTTGCCGTGGAAACCATAAATGCCAAAGACATCTGCAACTTTTAGGATAAAAGTAGGCGTATTTGACATACATACAGGGTGTCCAAATAGTATGTCAATGAAATAATTTGTTTTAGAGAAAAATGTTAAATACAAAATTTAGAGATGAGACTAATAGAAACAATTTAAAATTATTTCCAAATTATACACGGCGATACATAAATATGTGAAAAACTAAATTTATATATTTTTTAATCTGACACTCTGTATATTATAACATTAGTAGATACTCAATCGCACAATATAGGGTTGTTAGGGTCCCCACTGATTGTTTTTTTTTTTGATTCATGCTTAATTTTTCGTCAAAAATTCCCTGTGTTTATTACCCTATATTCTTGAAGCCGTTTCGACCGATAAAATAGTACAGTCATTTTAGACTTGTCTTAAACTTAGTTTGAATCGTTTATGCAGGGAGAGTCAAAATGAAAAATATTAATTTTCTTGAAAGAACCAAAAGAGACACTCTGTTTTCAAACCGTGCGAAAATATCACAATACAGAGACGAATTAAGTACAATTTTTAAACAATAGGATTTGTTACATGTTAATAGAAAAAAAATAGATATTCAAACAAAAAAAATATTATGAACCGCGACACTTGGAAAAACAATTTAAATATTATTTTTGTATATTAATGTTGCTTTTTGCATTTACACTAAAAGCCGCAATCGGTAACATTATTTTATAGTTTAATAATATTTTGATTAAGCAAGCCATTATTTCCAAATTAATGGAAAGAAAACAAAACTAACCAAAACTAACTCCAACACAAGTATAGGAAAAAGGACAGCACCATTTTATAAAATTTTTGGCATAATAAAAATACAGCCGTCAGAAACAGCTTCAAAAATATAGGGTGTTAAACAAAGGGAAGTTTTGAAGAAAAAATGACCATAATTCCGGAAACATTCAGTATAGATCATAAGAATCCTACATTGGGTGATTATAAAAATTCAATAATATACAGGCTGTATTTATCACTCCCTTGAACTTACTTGAAACTAATTTTAAATTGTTTCTTTTAGTCTCATCTATAACTTTTGAATTTAACGTTTTTTTCTGCAACAAATATTAAATGAGATATACTACGTTGACACACGACTGGGATACCCTCTATATAGATGTCGACAATTGTTTAACAAGTCATGTAATATTTTTATAAAAAAACACCAATATGTGCAACACTCATAACGCAAATAGCTACTTGTTGCCAACATGTGGTCAGCAGTGGCGTGGAGAGGGACGTTTAAAGGCGAGCGATTAAAGCTAGAGGACGGGGCTATCAAAGGTGTATTATTTAAATATTTTTTTATCGTCGCAAATGCATACTGTTCGCAAAAAACATTTACTTGTCATACGCCGTATATAAAGGCGGAACTCGATATGTCGTCGATGATACCGTCAACGACTACAGGCCAAAATGGAATTGCCGCTAGTGACGACGGTAACAACCCTACTATTAGTTCTGATCGTGGTCGTTACTTGTCAAGAACAGCGTTTTAACTGTCCGCCCGAGTACTGCCTCAGAGTCAAATGCGTGAGTGACGAATTCTGTCCAAAAAACGAAACGTTGTTACCGACCTTCTGCGGATGTTGTCGGAGATGTGTTCCAGTCATTGGTAAGCGTCCATTCTTCCAGATACTGTCATTAAAGACAGGTTATACAAGAAACATATGAAATCTGCACTACCATATAAATTAAATATTTCAACAAATCATATGTCCGTAAGACGTCCATGAATGTGTCACAGGTTTGGACATCAATTCAATGTTTAAGAATTAAGATTAAGCAAACATTGGATATAATATTTTAATTTTATTAGCTGGGCTTTTGGGTTTAATTAAATGAGTTTGAGCCTTTACTTAGATATTAAGTAAGTATTATTCTTACGAGATATTAGCTTAAATATCTTGGCCGGTAATGACAATATCATCACTCAGTACATCTTACTCATGAATATATATGGATTTTTTCCTCAAAACGAAAATGGAGGAAGATCTACTTAGCTTCCAACCGTTAAATTTCGACTATGACCTAACTGATCTTTTGTTTGTGTAGGTTAGCATTTCAATAAATAAAAATAAATTTCAGCGCTCAGTCAAAAATGACCCAAGTATTAAAAATATAAAATAGACTAGCGAAAACGAGAGATTGGAACGAATCACTAAGGCTTGAAGATCCAAATCTTGCACTAGATATACTGTTAAATATTATTTATTTATTTATTTAAAGAAGTCCACCTAACAGGCATGAAGCCCAACTAACAGGTAGGTTGTAATAGAAAGCATTAAATAGTTACAGAGGCAAGTAATGATGACATGACGAAATTTAACAATTGTCATGTAAAAATATATAATTTCGTGAAAATCTGAACTTTTATTAACTCTTATATGAAAAACAAGAGAGTCAAAATGATGTCGAGCATTGTTCTTGGAGCACATTGAGAAAATAGGTGAAAATTTTAAAATATTAATTCTTGGCACGGGCGGAAACAATGTGTTACTATGTCTAGAGTTTATACGCGGAACCAGAAAATTTTGTCTATGTAATAGGTCAGAATAAACAAACACGTTATTTAAAATTTTAAATAGTCGTTAGAAAATGGTAAGACACATAACCAAGTCTATCCAACTTATACCATACATACTCCAAAAACCAAAAAATATTTTTATCACTTCTGAATTTTTAAAGTCTCTAGTACAACGTACGATAAATCCGTAGCTTTTTGAGGCTTCTGCCAGTACATTATTACATATTTCTCCTAATTTACAAGAAGTGTTAGAACGGGAGAGAGTTTTATCAAAAGATGATAGTCATATTTCACACCTGCAATTATGCTGGTAAAACCGCCTACATTACACTTGGCTGTATTAAGTTACAAGTTACAAACTACGATGGAGAATATAAGATAATCCTCTCAACACCTGATCTTTAAACAAAAATTACATCCTACAAATGGAATAGCAGAAATATTATCACGAAAGAGTGATAAACAAAAAATACAAAAAAACCTAAGTTGGAGGTTACATGGAATAATTACATCTACAAAAACTAGGGCCAAATTGAGATTTAATTTTAAGAAAAATGCTACTCCCGAAAAAAGAAAGTAAATAAAAAATAACAAGGAAATTAAAAGGGCGTTAAAAATATTACACTCGAAAGTGGCGATCAGATCAAGAACCCAATGATATTGCAAAACAAATATTTCATACATGAATGAAACTGTATTAGTATCTTTAAGGTTCCTTAACTATAAATGGTGGACTTTTCAAATATGTTGTTGCGCCAATCGAAATTTTCTTCATGGACTCTAAGAGCATCATCCCTATTCCACCTAGTAACAACAAAAAACAATTTTTTGATCAAAGGTCCTCTCTATCAGTCTATGAAATTGACGTTTTCTGTCTTAGTCGATTACTGTCTACTACATTAATTAAACAAATATGTTTATTTCAGCTAATATAGTGTATTATCTGCTTTTGCAATTATTTTACTGGAGAGAATGCAGTTGAATGGCTAAAGCTTATGGTGTTATGATGAAATTGTAAATATTACTTTAATTAATATCAATGTGTAGTTTGAATAAAGCAAACAAAAAAAAGATGCGTAAACATTCTGTATATAAAACAAAGCTTTAGTTTCTTGTAATTAATTAAAATATCAATATAATAACTACATAATTCAAACATTATTTGCCAAGGACTTCGACAAATGAGTTGGAAAAAGAGCTTGGTAGGGTACTTGATTTTTTTTGTATATATTAATATATATATTAAAGATAAATCCCACAACATCACTAATTATGTTTTTGCAAAAAAGAAAAGTAAAATCGTTAATAAAATGCACGTAATTCGGGAAAATGTTAATTTAAAATAGCCACTGTATAAAAAAAAAACCTTGATCTTATGATAAATGTTGATCTGCGATTCAGAGAGCATATCAGTTGCTACATACGAAAGGTAGAGGCACATCCTTACCTACTATAAATCAGATTGAGACTATTTGGATCTTAGCAACTTCAACTATTGTGATGTAATATACGAAATTCAGAAAGATTAACGATATTTGAAAAGTACAAAAATCCTGTCTTTGCTTTCCTCGTGGAATTAAGAAATACCAACCTATAACTTATAAATTGCATACTGTGGAGCGAAAAAGAGAATTTCTCTCAATAATGTTTTTTTAAACTGTCACAACAACAAATTTCTCATATTATTTAGCAAATAACTTAAGATTCTGTGGAAGCATCATGTGTCAGCGATATTTGAAAAAAGGTTTATTCACTCTGCTTACTGGTTACCAACCTATATAATAACATTCCTCTTCAGTACCAGACGTTTAAATTAAATCAATTTAGAACGAAGTTTAATGAAATATTCTTCAGTGTTTCCAGATTCGAGAGACTATAACTATAATAAGATTTTCGTAACGTATTGGATTATCCGGTATAGAAGGGAAATGACACTGGTCCAGACGGTTTCAGCTTGACAATAAAAAGACAAATTTTGTTCATTGCATTTGCAGGTGAAGGTGGAACATGTTTGTTACTATTCGGAGCTCCACTGACGTCTGTGTGCCAGAAAGGACTGCATTGTTGTTCGGGCATTTGCCAAAGGGAATGCCCTTAATTTAATTTTACTTAAATCACAGTTTTGCGTCATTTTCGATTATTGCCTAATAAAGTTGTTCTTAACACGTTTTTGCTTCTTTTATTTTTCGTCAAACGAGAATAAGTACAACCAACGCAAAGTCAAGAAAACAATTCTTATTTTTATATTTATATTCGATACGCTACATACATACAAGAGGGCCGACCTGCGGGCCTGCATGTAACAATTATATATTATTTTTCATGTATTTCGTTATAAGTACTATTTTTTGAATATTAATGTTGGAAAGATTAACAATTATGTAGAAAACATAAAGTGGAACTTTGGTAGAAAAGTTAAGTTCATTATTTCAATGAATTCAGCTCAGTTTCTATACGCTTTTTACTCAATAAACATCCATTTTTGGTTAGTTTTGTTTAGTTTCATGGTGATAAAACTGGTTGCTACTTTTTGCTCATTTCGGTCAAAATAGAGACAAATTGGCGCCTGTTCTTTTTTTCTACATGTAAGGTGGTTTTACAGAAACATATCAAACAAATTTATCATCAGCATCATTTGAGAAATGTTGTTCAGAGCTTCAAAAATTACTAACACTTCCAAAACTATTTCGTTTTTATAACCCTGGCAATTCAGAATCAGACGTATCTTCCTCAAACTGTGGCTAAATTATAACTCACAAAGGTAAAACATGTTTTTTCATTGAAATGAAACTGTAAATTGCATGTTATTATTGCCGATGTCTAGTTTATTTATATTTTTCTTCCATAGTCTACATTACCTTATAGCTTTTTACTATTCATATTATGACGTCGTTTATAAATATTTTGTCACCTTTAAGATACACGATTCGTATGCAGCTCCAAAGTCTCGTAGCAGCCGTATCTCAGAAACAATTGCCTGAAAAATTTTAAAATTTAATTAGGGCGATGTTGCCGGTTCTATACTTCGTTTTACGGGTACGAACATTCTTTTATCAATCAATAATGAATAATTAAAAAATCCTGTCTAATATAGATTTCTGTTCATGCTTCAAAATATTAAGTGCTATTGAATGTATTATCTGATTTTAATTTAAAACTCATTTGAGCCACATATATTGATTAAACAAACAATTTCGATAAGAAATTAATACCCCAGTTGCGAAGTCTAACAATCAACGTGGCCGTTGACAGTTCGTGAATTATCGTGAGTTGTCAATGTGGTTGTAGCATTTTTTTTTGTAGTATTTTGTTGAAATATACACAGATCCCATTAAATTCATAATAAGTATGTGGAATTCGTTTGTTTATCCATTATCAGTAAAATATTTTAAAAAAAGAAGGGCCACCGTGTACCACCTTGAAATTAGAGCTACTTCCAATACCATAAATATCAGCAATACATCGTTGAAACGTTTTTTTTTTTTTCGGAAACAAACATTTCGACGGAGGCAAATTTATCTGTATACCGTTTTGCTATTTATATAAACCATTTGAAAACGCATATAGCAGGTAATATCGAACTGTCATTATGAAAATGGTGCTGGCAATCCTCCTGCTGAGTTTGGTCGGGGCGTCTTCTCAGCTAATCTTCGGAACTCAGAACACGAAACCTTTTGCCGATGCTGTTTCCGATGTGTTCCGATCATCGGTAAGCTTTTATATTTCCAACATACGGTTAAGCAAAAATTGAAAATTAAAATTAACCTAATTCATTTCTCGTTGCAAATGTACGCAGATCACACTTTTGTTTTTGTTATTTCCAGTGAACAAGTTGATAGAAAACTATCGTCCTATGAGTAGAGACCTCGACGCTATTTTTGAAGTTTCTAAGGATCATTCTCTGCTTTTAAATCCTAGTACATGTCAGGTCTTACTATTTGTAGTAGTATAATAGTCTTGACATAAAAAATTAATTAGATGAATGTATTAAGAAATCAACCATTTATCAGTTTTTTATCTATATGAATTATTAAATGTGGTTTCTTTGCAGGCGAAGGGGATAAATGTGTAAAATTATCCGGAACAGCACCCCACGCCTATTACAACAGGGGATTGACGTGATGTTCCGGAATATGACGTGAGCATCTTGTCAAATAATATGCTATTAAGTTATAAAACGCCTAGTTTGTTTTACTCACACTCTTTTTAGATTATACAATAAACGAGATAACAAAGAATTTGTGTTTATGTTTCCCTTTGATTTTACAAAAAAAAAATTACGTAGTCAGTGGCGACTTATACAATAAACGAGATAATAAAGAATTTGTGATTGTGCTTTTACAAAAATATTTTACGTAGTCAGTGGTGACTTCGTGGTTCAAAATATTGTCACATTGATCGTGAGAGGACTTTTCAAGGCGTGGCTTCAATCATTTTAGTCAGGCCGTGAGGCTATTTAAAAATTTTAATAGCAAAATCTATAGTGCCACTCTCCATGGTAGTGTCCTAACGTCATTGATTTCGCTGTTTTTTATTTCCAAGCCCTTTATTTTATATTACCATATACTCCCTGTATATATTGAAGAGTATCGGTGACAAAATGTGGACTGTGTGGTGTTTTGTGGAAGCAAGAATATATAAATGGTCAATGCAAAAGCATAAAAAAGAAACTTTGATTCCAATATAAAAAAACTGGGCAATAAAGATCCATAATCTATTTTTGTAATTTTATCAATGTAATATTGCTGTAAAAAAATCCTGCGCGTACTGAGAACAGATCTTTTTAGATGCTGTAGGTCGTGAAATTTAGCTTTAGATACAGGTACTGGCCCATCATAAGCTAAAGTTGGAAGCAAAAAACACTTTTCAGGTAGCGAAAGTTTTATTCTTTTTTGTTTTATGACTACATTTTCTCGACCATTATAACTTTCCTTATGTACAATCAAGACAATTGGGCATATAGAAATGGGCTAGAAATTTGGTCTAACTCCAAAAAATACACTGATATTCACAAGAACTAACTTTAAAAGGGCTTGGTTTTGTTCGGGAATCCCTTAAAACTGCATTCCATCCTTGAGGCAGTTCAACGTACGCCTTCTGTTTCACTAAACCAATATTTCTATCAAATTCTAGATACAAATGTCTATGAACAGGAAAAACCATTTTCATTGATTTGATTTGATTTTGATATTGTAAGCTTCTTGACATTAAAATCCAGATAGTTAAAAATGTAAATGTAATGTTTTTCCTGAAACTTCAGTATAAGTATAGAAAAGAGCTTCAAAGGTCGAAAGGACATGCATGTTGAACATGTAGAACGAAAGTTGTCTACGATAATACGTGCCATTAGCTGTAATATTCGGCAGATGAATATTTTTTTGAAAATCCATTACAATTGCTTCCTGGGTTTTGTCTTTTTGAGCCTCAATTCTAGCAGCTTTTTTACGTATATACTTCTTTTTCAACTTCGCAGTTCCGTGTGTAACTGCAGTGCATTGTGATCATCTGCACTACAGGTACTACTACTACTACTACTACAGATACCCAAAAGCAATATTAAACTTGGTGTTGAATATTTTACTATATAATTTATCAGGATATTTTTCTTTGTACATAGAGTACATTTTCTTAATATTGAGCTCAGTAGGTAGATAAACCTATGTTATGTATCACCTTATAAGTATATGAAAATTAGTGAAAATCAGTTTCATCTTCAGATTTCCTCGGACGGTGGCGTGTTACCGGTTTACACGTTTTTAAACCACTCAGATAAAGGGATTGTTCATCATAACTTTGTAGTTGATTAAATTTAGACACGATCGTGCTTAAATCGGCTGCAGTGAGATTTTGGAAACATTTAAGTTTTGAACATTTGCAGTCTTGTCCAGTTTGATGACTACTTAAGCGTAACTTTTTAGTTACATCCTGCATTCGTCCACAGGATTTTCTTTTCCTTGTTTTTTGTTGCTCAGCCATTATTCAACAACAACAAATACACCATAAAACTTTAAAAACAGAATAATCAATAATTATACCAATAAACTTTAACGTCAATAAAAACAAGTTGGTAACTTGGGACTGAACTACATGCATTGTTTACGATCATAAGCCGGCAAAATAGAACAACGTTGCCATTTACTATGGACTGTCATCTTTCTTGCTCACAATGTTTAGTACCTTCATCTTTTTGCCCACTACTATACATTTTAAATTCTGTTTATCTTTGTTATCTTTGTACTGTCATCTTTCTAGTCATTTCTTATATTTGGATAGTATTCTATAGTCGATATATTATACGAAATAACTGTACACCCTCATCTTTTTCCCCTGTACTCTTCAATTGTTTTGTTTCCTTTTTCCTCTAGACGCCTATTTCAAGGCAATTCATGTTGTACATATCTGTATTTAGGACCAATGGGATTGTTTTTTCGTTATCCATAACGGTAACGACTTGTGAACGAAACCAACTATTGTTTTATCCGATATCGGTAAAGTATTACAATATACCATACGGCGCACACGCATGAGATTAAAATACCGAGGCATAAATACGGTTATAATTGGTTCATCGTTTCAGCATCATCGTCATCATTAACCAACAAGCTTCTTCTCTTTTCCGTTATGGAATATGGGGCCCCTCCCAATGCTTGCGATCTGTCAAGATCGTCGGTCCATTTCGTATGTGATCTCCTACTTGACCATCTGCCGTTCTGAAGCCTCGCAATGTGTGCAGCCCATCTCCACTTGAGATATGATTCTTCTATTATATCTTCCACTTTTGTTCTGTGTTTGTTGTTTTGTTTCCATTTTCCGTTGGGTTAATTCCTTTGGGACTGTGGGCTCCGCTCCATAGGGGAGAGCTGAAAACACGCACTGATTGAAAGCTTTTCTTTTAAGGGCAATAGAATCGAAAATATCTGTCAGTTTTCCATATGCCGCCCATCCCAATGCAGTTTTCTAGTCAACTTCTGTCTACCGATTGTATTTGTTTTCCTTTCGACTCAATTCGTCAACTAAGGACCATATTTGTCATCATTTTGGTGTTCAGTTAGTACATATATAAGATGATTTGTGATGTGGCTCGTTGTAGTTCACGAACCATGTGATTTGTGACTGCGCAATTGTCCCCTATGAAAACTACATCACCTGCAAATATTTCATATCCTTTCGATGCAGGTTTATCACGTATTTCAAGACTGTAATAAATAATTTGGGTTACAGGGTGTCGCCTTGTCTTATACCTCTTGCGATTGGAATTTGTCTAGTGTCTTCGCGTAATCTTATGGTTGATGTGGCGTTTCCAAAATAGTTATTTAAGATAACCAACTATTTCAGAGCATTTGCAAGCAGAAGCCTTGTCACTTCCATGTTCCGGGTTGACCCATACACTGTGTTTTGACTAAGTTTCAGTAAATATTGTTACGAGCCCTACAAAAACGTGATATACGAGCCAATAAACGATTATCATGACAGACGACTCGTATGACAATCTGCAGTGCATTATTTAAATTATCCTTTATCGGTACAAACTTTTTTCGCAAAAACTACGTCCACTGTATTCGCGATTACACATATAAGTAAGTCTTAAAAGTCGATTAAATTTCGCATTGTTGTTGGAATCGGTGGGCATGGACGGATACAACATCGTAAAGCTGGTCGCCTTCGGATTGCTGATCGCGTTGGTCAGCTGTCAGACCGATTTCCTCGCTTGTACGTGGGACTATTGCGAAACGCATCCCTGCAAAACTGTGGAAACTTGTCCGGAAAATGAGACGCTGGTGCCCACGTATTGCGGATGCTGTCACACCTGCGTCCCGACCATCGGTGAGTCTTTGGTCAATCCTGTAGTTCCTTGGTCAATTCGTATTCAAGACGAAGAGATATTGGTGAGGTTTTGAATGCCTTTTTTCTCGATGTAATGCAATGTCAGCACCAATATGAGCCTTTCTTTAATCAGGAGTAGTATACTTGCACCAGAAATACTGTGCTTTTACAACCGACCCCGTGAATAACTTTGTCTACTGTTTATTACTCCAAAAACGCAGTCCCTTATAGAACACCCTGCCGAGCAGAGCATTCCAGGACCGTCCTAGGAATTTATCTACCTACACGAACAAGCGGGATATAAATTTGTGTTCAATCTCTTTCGCTGAGCATTCTTGAAACATGTACATAAAAAAAGTAAAGTAACAATTTATTATGTTCAATTTCATTACATTTCCACATAGTATTTGCCTTACCATTTGAACTATCCAATGAAAACAGTCTCCCAGGGTCAAAGCTCGAGAATCAGGTACATAAATACGTACTTACTAGAAGTATCACAGTCAAATACTCCCGTAATATATACGAACATTTTAGATTAAACTCCTAAGAACGATACATATCAGCTGATGTTAAAATAAATGCTTATACCCATTCGAAAATACCCCGCATTTATGTTTCAAATAAAAGTTTCTACAAATATTCGTTACGGCCCATCTCCGGGAAGACTACTTAATGGAGAACAAACATCTGTTGTAATGGGTTTTACCGTCCTGCGAAGGTCTGCAGTTGAGGTACTGTAAAATACTAAAACGACAAAACAATAAATGCACTATATTTTTGGTCGTATTATAAAAACTATTTGCAGCGGCATATATCAACTTTTTTATTGACACCTTCTGAAGTCATTGGTAATGCAATTGCAATAAATTAGCTATCAAATATATTTTGTTATATTGCCAGTTCGTGAGAAGGTCATCAGGATGTGTGTCAAAAAGAAATTCCATAGCTTTACATGCAAGCCTATAGTTGTTGGATAATGTAGTGCCATCTCGAGGTATGGACAATAAGTACTAAATAAGAATTAATCACAGGTAACATAATCTGGATAACCGACCTTATTTCGTAATTATGTCAGTAATTTTGCAATAGAGAAAAAGTACAAATGAATCACTTGTTGACTACCATAACGACACTGGGTCACAGATATTTGGTTTGAGAATAATAGGTACCAAATGTACCACCAAATAGCGTCCAGGAATTGTTTTCTTAAGGGCAAAGTTTACCCAACAGTACAAATTAGATGATCAAAGTTAATCCAAAATCGAACCTAACATAAGAACAAGAGAAAAGGAAAAGATTTAAATTTAAAATGTTAACTAACATATTTCCAAAAAAAGTCCAAATGAGGTAGAGCATTATATTTGTACATATTCATAAATCGATAAAAATTTAAAAATTTTTGACGTGGGCGGAAATGATGTGTCTTTAGATCTGGACTAAGAGAAACCTATTTAATAATATTACACGCGTTGTACATACATATTTCAAGAACTTGGGCATATTTTTTTATTAATGTGACAATTGTACGCAGGAGACAAAATTACTGATCCATACAACGTAAGATAAACCTTTTTGAGGTATCTGGTATTAACATGAGAAACAAAGTATAATTTCTAGTCGAATATTACTCCCAAGTCCAAAAATGTTAAAACGGGAGAGAGTTTCATCAAAAATATAGTAGTTATATTTAACAGCTACACATATGGTGGTAAAATACACTGCATTGCAATTGACTGTACTTAGCTGTGAGTTATTATTTAGAGACCAAATGTTGATTTGCCCCGAAGTACGCTAAACACTGGATTTTTTTGAAAGCATATTGAGTATGGAGGCTTGAAGAATGCCCAAGGACGCAACATGTGGAAGTGAAGGTAGAGTTCACGTACTGATGCTGTTAGACAGGTGCGAAGAAAAGCAATTAACAAGCGATTCAGAAAATCCAAAAGTATAACGGTTGTCGATCAGAATTTTGCGATTTACCTTATCAAATGCTTATAAAAAATCAAGATATATGACGACCACTTGAGAAGGTTTATCGTGAGCCTCAGAAATATACTGAGACGTAGTAATTAAATTGATACTACCTTTAAATCCATATTGTTGAGAGATTATTTGAATGAATGAAATCTTTTGTCATGTAAGGGAGATTTTAAAATTTGACAGAAATTGCAGATAAGTCAAATAGTTTTTTGGACCTTGCTATAAAACACGATAAGTCGACTTCATATTTGGCACATATATGCAGCTTTGCCCCGTGACGCAACCTATTGAAAATGGGAGTGCTGCGGGTCGGGAAGTATTTGAAAAAATAAAAAATTGCACGTGTAAGGGTCTACAAAAAACATTTTTCAAAAACTGTTTACTAGACCAAAAAAATTCTTGAACCAGAAGAAGCAGAAGATATGGCTCTATAAACTTTTATTCGTGACAATTTTTCAAGAATATACAGAATATACGGTTTTTAAGTATTGTACAGGGTGCTCTCGATACTCCGTGCCATATTAAAAAACATAATAAGTACTCCAAATTTGCAGCTACCGACTTCAGACTTGGGAGAGAAGTGGAAGTCTGGACCCGCATTTACACTCTTTAAATTGGAAGTAATAAAATAACGCGAAGTATTTTTTTTTATTTTTGATTTTTTTTGTTGTTATTTTGGCATGCAGAAAAACATATTTTCTTCCAAAGCCATTCATACGATTAAAAAAATTTTACATCTGCAATACGTAGGAGACCCGGCGCTATAACTTTTGTTTCAGGCATTTTTTTGATTACATACAAGGTGTTTTAGTTATGGACAGAAATCTAAAAAACCCTGAAAATTGTTCTTTTAGAGAATGAATCATTAACCGTAAATCAAAATTCGTACAAACAATGGGAAATCCGTTCAAAAAATCCAAATGAAAATCACTATTTCTCGCCCTCAATCTAGACGCGATGACACTTACAATTACCACGTACTACATGGTTTCAGAAAACAAATAATTTTTTGAAAACCATTTGCTCCACTAAAAAAAATCGGATACCAGGAAACTAAGGAGATCCAGAGCTATATCATCTATTTCAAACATTGTTGGAATTATATACAATATGAAGGACATTTTATACAGGATGTATTCATTTTTTGATTTTGCGAAAGTTCGATAGTGGTCCGCAAGAGTACGATAGAAAAACATTGCGTCCCTACAAGAATCCGCGAAGCGCCTTCTCTTTAAAATAAAAAGCTGATTTGCGCTATTTGCGACGAACTTGTCCCTGTCACCGACGATTTTTCGAAACCAATCTTGTTTAGACTTGCACTCTTTTACGTCCGTATTTCGAGAAATAAGTTATTTTCGACTTTTAATTTGAATAGTAAAATTGGGTCACTTCGCTCTGTTTCACCCAAGCCTTTCTTATGACATAATGGTCAAGAGGAAGTAGCACGTCCACAAAAAGGGCTTTTATAATGCAAAAGAGCACTGCTCTGATAATGGTTGAAGCAGGTCTACTAAGCATAATTAATCTAGTACAAAACTTCCTAAGTACTACATGAGAAATTCAAATTCCAAAATTTAAATTGTCAAAAGAAAAAAAAATTGTTTAGAGTTTAAGATATTTAATGGTCTCGATGACAAAATAAAGAGGTTGAATTTTCAAAAATTTGTGAGTCGTCCTTAATATCTTGCTTGCTTTCCTCTCAAAAATGTCAAACGTAAGTCGTTTCTTTACCAATTTGTGTGCCAATGGCCAGGAACTAATCCGCATTGCTCCAAAAAAAATGTTCGTTCTTCATCTTTCATTACAGGTGAAGGTGGGAGCTGTATTATTGTGCGCGGAGTACCACCTACCTCCGTGTGCGACCGGGAGTTGACATGCTGCAAGGGCACCTGCAAGAAGACGTGCGAAGAATTTGTAGAAGTCTTTGGCAATAGATAAAAAATAATTAGATTACACGTGTCGCATACGTACGTGGAATAAATAAATTTTAAACATTTAAAAGAATTTTGATTTTTGTTTCGACTAAGCAAAATGTCACGTTTCTAAAGTTGGTACCAGTTTTTCGGGAGCCTATCCTGAACTGAAAAGTCGCATGATTCATCAACATTTTAAAAATATTGTTAATTATACAGGGTGAGTCAAAAGATAGTTATTAAAATTTAATATATTTTTAAATAGGATGTTCTAAATATTACCCCATCATCTGATGTGTCAATTAAAAAGCTTTACAGCATATCCAATTTTTTTGCGATATAATCAACATACTTACCCAAAGGCCCCTGCTATGTAGTAAATGTGATATTTTGAAAATAGAGTACACAATGTAAAAAAAAAACAAATAAGCGATACTCGGCTTATTTTAAATTGAATACCCTGTACCTAAGTCCCTTATTTTTTGTATTAAAACCCTTCCAAAAAGAGCTGAAATTAAAATGTTTGAATTAATATTTGACTTTGACTCTTGTCAGTAGCTATTATTCTAAGTCAGCATTATTTATAATGAAATTTTTTCACGACGAACTTAGCAAAATGAAATATGCTTTAGCCACTGCCGAAAGAAATACTCTTTTAGCCTTTTTTGCAATATGTTAGCAGCGTTATCCTCAAAGACGCCATTCCCAACCAGAAGACTGATGACTAAATTGAAAAGAATAAAAAAAGTGATATTTCAAAAACATGTACGTGTCAACATGATACACATTATGAAAATAAGATGACGGTAGCTCTAAGCATAGTTGAAAATATACAAAAAAGTGATGGGAACTTGCCTTGCCTACAATACGACGAATGTTGGGAAATCTGCAGTTCCATCCGTATCATATTCAATTATTACAACGCTTCAGAATTTTGAAAAAGATATGTTTTGTCAATGGGCGCAAAAACAACGACTGTGTAAATAATTTCACCTTCCATTTATTGCAAAGGCTCTTACAATAAAAGAAGATATGCAAATAAATTATCGAGAAGTTTTCGAAACAGTTCAGATATGTTGGAAAGAGAAAAAAAATCATGCCTAAGTACTGAAGCTATCCTATATGCCCACCTACATCATTTTTCATACAACTTTCTTGCTAGCGTATATACTATGTGACATCAACAAATTAAATTTATAATTAATTATTGTTTACAATTAACTCTGGGACTTTACTTTATTTTGTTTTAAGTTAGTGTTTTATAGTTATTTAAAATAAACAACAGCTAAATAAGATTTTCAAAGCAATCTGGATTCAAGCATTTTCCGCTTTTATTCGCATAGGTTTGAAATGCTTTCAAAACGTATGCGTATAACGTATAACGCATAACGTAGGTAATTATATTTCGGACATAATTACCATTTCCAATGGAATGAAGCGGAAACATATATGTTTTTTTTTTTCAGTTTTTTTAGTTTGGTTTTTATGGGGCCTATATGTTTCATTCAAATAAACCCCTTATGTCTTAAAAAAAACAGACGCAAATATGATTTAAAAAATGTGGAGCGACTGTAAAGTTTTGTTATTCACACTCTAGAATTAAAAATATCTTTAACTTGTAGGTCTGAACCGATCTTGCAACTTCGGTTAAAATAGTTTTTCCGCATCTGTCACTGTTAATGGGCTATCTCTGCCGTACGCTTTGCAGAGGCACCCTGTATACAAGCCCTGTTAAATTTAGCATTTAAAGTGCCTACCATAATAAACGTTTTGGTTAGTTATCAGCAATATAGCAAAAAAAAGGGGAGGGTCATAAATATCAGCAATACGCCACTGAAATGTACTTTTCTCGGAATAAGTGAATAAGTATTTCAACGAACGCCAATTTATCTGTATACCATATTGCTATATATATTATTCGGAAAAGTTGCCAACGGATATATCAGCTGAACGCGCACTGTCATAATGAAAGTGGTGCCGATAATCCTGCTAATGACTTTGGGCTTGGTATCTTCTCAGGTAATGGTGTGTCCTCCGGACTATTGCGAGAAACATCCTTGCTTAAACCAGACATCCTGCACAGAAAACGAAACGTTGGCACCCACCTTTTGCCGATGCTGTTTCAAATGTGTTCCGATCATCGGTAAGCTTCAATTACCTCAACAATTACCACCAAATAGCCCTTTTAAATATTTCATTTCAATGACAATTAAGTATGTATTAAGTTTAGTTCTTCTACAGTAGGTTTTACCAAGTCTTCTGTCCATCTGTTAGCGAAGAAGTAGTCCGCCTACCTCAAATTCAATAATAAACATGGTTTCTTTTACAAATATAAAAAAAATGTACTGATATTTTTAACTGTTAGTTTTGTTAGAGAGGTAGGTTTAGGTATTTTTCTTCGGAAAAGGGCGAAAGTCGCCATAAAACGGGAACACACTGGCTAAGGGAGATAAACCCCACTATAAAAAACTGTACCTACCAGGAGGAAGTTAAGCAGCTAGCTGGTAATTAGCTCTTGTTAAATTTTAGATATACCTGCAGTACCCAGAGTCGCCTAGGAAATTACATAATTTTGCTACTATAATTCCACTAATTACCACTGATTACCGCTATCCTTGCACTAATTAGCACATATTGCAGCTGAAATTTTCACAAACTTATCACAATGAAATTGCCTAGACCTAAAAGTAAAAATTTTACTTACTTTTCTCTGTTTGATGTCATGGACAAAATTATTATCTTAGAGCCCAGTGAGAAAATTGAACAGTTACAGAAACACTTCAACATAGAACAATTTTTTATGAGTGGGAATTATTAAATGTTTTTCTTTGCAGGTGAAGGTCACAGATGTCTGAAATTATCCGGAACACCACCTCGTTACATTTGCGACTACGGATTGAAGTGTTGTTCCGGCATATGCCGTAAACATTGCCCTCCTGCTCTATAATATGCTATTAAGTTAATCCGGCTTGTAACAACTCGTTTGTTTTAGTTTTACCTTTGTCCACAGAAGGTAAACAAAAACTGCAGAAAAGAAAAGAATTATTATCGCTCTATCTCAATTTTAAGCATCTTTTCCGAAATGTCAAACATGACTTATTAAGTACCACGTGGGATTTCTTCTATTGCATGGAGCCGAATCCTAACCATTAAATGTAAAGTCATTAAATCGCATCGAAGCGTTTGAAATGGGGATTCTTCCTTGGATGTTTAAGATCTCATACTCTGAACACATTTCTAAAGAAGTGCTGCGAAGAGTGGGCATCGAAAAGCATCACTTGGACACAATAAACGCCCAGAAAGTATGGGACACATTTTAAGAGGACCTACATCATTACGAAGTTAATACTGCGGGACAAAATGGAGAAACAGGACGAAAACAACACTCATGGCTCCGGAACATCAGGCATTGGAGCGGCGTACCAGACGCGGAAAAAATACTACGCAGGGCAGAGGACAACACCATTGCAAATCAATTGATGAGAATGTGCAAATAATCCCCAACTCACAAGAATTCATACCTCAGTAATCTCCTATAATATTGTTGTTCTTAGCGGTAGGGAAACTTTTATAAAACGCAAAATACTCGCTGTAACATCAATCTATTTGCATGATGTAATGACATATGTACACAAAAATAAATCGAATTTTCAAGTTATTGGAGCTTTTCGTAAATACCCAGCAAGAAATAGCAACATTTTCTGTATTTGGTGACATAATGACTATTTTAAATCATCACCAAAATTAAATTGCCAAAATGGCATACTGATATTAAATTACGTATATCGCGAACCTGAATATTGAAACAGGATAAACGCATGAAAAAACTAGTTAAACCGACAAATTGGGATGTATCGACCAGATACACCAATGTTTCGCATTTAAATCTGCAGAATAGTTAGGTCCATTGATCTCATTAGTTTTTTCATAAATCAACAATTACAAATTATCAATCACTTCTACTGTGTACACTGTAAATGCTATTAAGGGCTGGTTTATATTTCTCGGGGAAATAACTCAGTGTTAGTTTTTGAATAAAAACAAAATACCTAACCTTCCGACGCCATGCCGTAAAACAGGACAGCCAACTGTTACATAGGCGCAGTAGCCACAGGATAGAGCCACTACATTACGTTCAATTCTTCCGAGAGCAAATACACGTACTGTACACTAACTACAAATTTATTCTTTTCGAAGGTTTAATTTTTCTTTTTTGTCTGCTTAAAGGCAAAGGTAAATTTTCATTCTCTGAAACACTTCAAGATTGTCTCTTTGATTATCTTCTAAGTCTAAATTTGTTTTTGTTATTAAAAAATATATCGACACAATTTTCAAATTTTTCCTTATTGCTTACATCTTATGTAACATCATAAAATCTTCCTATGTATATAATTTGATTACTATGCCTTTGACGCTTAGGTTAGCAGTGATATTAAGCGTATTTTTATGACATTTGCTGGTGTCATTATGACGTAGTCGTAATCTTTCCTGATGTTTATTATAGGTACTATAACTTACCAGCTTACTTTAACCGAAACAGGTTTATTTGGATGGCTATAATCATTCCTGTAAAGTTCGGAATACTTTCCGTTTATTCGTATTATTTGTCAAGTACTTGGTTAACAAAATTATTACTACAAAACGTGTCAAACTTTTCACTAATTAAGAATCAGTAGAAGAAATCTTAGAATAGACATCTAAGATAACAAGATACATCACATTTTTAAATGGTCCTAGAAAATCTATATGTACGGGATCAAAAACAAATTTTGCTTCATCAAATTTGGTTAACGGAACTTTATTTGGTGTATTGCTAATAGAAGCTTCGCAATTTTTCACATGTTGTTCAATTTCATTATCCAAATTTGACTTCAAAAAATACAGTCTAGCTAATGATTTCATTTTAACTATACCATTAGGCGCATCTATCATATATCTAGCATATGGAACAAATTATTGTACTGAAGTGGCTTTTACTTGATGAAAATCCATTTAAAATGTTTAAATAAGAACAAACGTTGTTCAGATTTCTTTGATAAAGGCACTGTGTTTCCGAAACAGCTGTCATTTAAATATATTTATGTGAAAATATGAACAACGTTGGTTCTTATTTAACTAGAATGAAGTATTACCGTCGCCTTCATTTAGCCCGGTAATACAAATGATAGAGTTGTCGAATTATATTTTTTCAAATATCTCGCGCCCCTTATATTTGACGAAACCTGAAACTTTCTCTCGACACAGTTTACGATACTGTTCAAATGAAATTATCGCATCTTTAGCAGTTTTTCATTTATAGCCGATAATTTACCCACAAAAACGGAAATTTTAAGGAACTTTTAGATTTTCTCCCAATAATCGACACACCCTGTATATAATTCAAACAATGTTCGAAATAGGGGTGATAGCCCTGGATCTCCCACGTTTCCTGGTGTATGGCTATTTCTAGATACAGCAGACTTTTTTAGTGAGTAGTGATCAATATCATATCAATAAGTGATATGTTCACCTTTTAAAGTGTTGACGAGTTCATAATAAACGTTTTGTATACAAACGACTAAGTCCTAGAATACAGGTTATTTGTTTATCCATTATCAGCGATGTGGTACAAAAAGAGAAGGGCACGGTATACCACCATAAAACCATTAACGCTACTTCGAAGACCATAAATATCTGCATAACGTCGTTAAAATGTGTTTTTCTTTGAACAAATGAGTAAGTATTTCAGCGAACGCAAATTTATCTGTATGCCGTTTTGCTATATATATAATTTGAACAACTTAATAACTCATATAGCAGACAATCCCGAACTGCCATTATGAAAGTGGTGCTGACAATCCTCCTGCTGACTTTGGTCGGGGCTTCTACTCAGCAATTCCTGTGTCCTCGGAACTATTGCGAAGGCCATCCTTGCGTGAACCAGACTTCATGCCCAGAACACGAAACTTTGGCACCCACCTTTTGCCGATGCTGTTTTAGATGTGTACCTACTATCGGTAAGTTTCAACAATACTTGGTTAAGCCAAAAAAAAAGATAAAACATAGCATTGAACAGAAATTAACTCTAATTGCCGCTTCTAAATATTCTATTCATTAACCTACATTTATACATATAAATAAATAAAACACCTTTTAAATTGGATATTGTAAAATGCCTTTATTTTCGACACCAGTTCTAAAAAACATAAAAACAAGCAAGCCAAACAAATTTAACAACAAACTAATAATAATAATTCCAGTCTAAGTTGAAGTTTTCTTACATTTTGCAAATCTTCTGGATTCATCCTCGGTCGGTTGTTATAGAAAACCCATGTACACCTTAATGCATTATCACATCACGATCCGACTCAAAAAATAAAGAATTAAAACACCTTACTTCTGCTCTTCCCTCTAATAATTTCCACATTAGAGATACTGATACGTTCAATCACAAAATACTCTTCACCACAACCTTCTAAAGACAATACGTCCGAAAGCAACTCCACACTTGCCACTGTTGTCCTTCCTTACATTGAAAACATCACTAAGTACAAAGTTCTTTAAAAATATAACATCAAAACCAGATTTACCACTTGTCCAAAAATCATTCAACATCTTCGATCCATCAAAGACAAAATTCCGCTTGAGACACCAGCATTGTGACACAAAATATATTAGAGAGACCGAACGAAAAATATCAACTAGAAAAAATAAACATGAAAAAGCCTTAAGAAATATAAACTCATCAGCATTTGTCGAACACAATCACGAAACTGATCATCAAGTTCCTTTACCAACGAGGAATCCGAGAATCTAAACTAATGTGAACCTCAACTTACGTCTTTACCTTTCATTAATATGTTAATCCGTCATCCAAGACAAAGTCTATGTCCCTCCTTTAGATCCGCACCCCTCAAACAATATATAACCAGCTACAGAGTAGTGAGGAAGTTTCAGTTAAGAAGAAGGCAATAGGATGATTGGCGATCAGCGTGTTAACTTCATTAACAACCTCTCCAGAAGATTTGTAAATATCACCTTAGACTGTAGAAGTTTCTCTGAAAAATGAAGTTTAATTATTTCTCTCGGCTTAAGTATTCGCTCTAGTTTCTCTATGGTGATCTTACCATGTCTTCTGCAACTAGTCTTCTTTGTCTCTTTTTCATCTATTAGCGGATATGTAGAGAGCCAGTCCACCTCCCTGATTTCACAGCCTCGGCAATACTCAAATTCAGTTAGCTTTAAGCTCCACGTTCAAACACACAGCCTGCTGATCACTCTGACTCTGCGTCTCAATATGTAATGTCTTGCAGTAATCCAGAAAGTACGGTACTGCACGGTCTTCAATCTCTGATATTGTACAATTCTTTCCGTTTTTTTTGGACTTCTGCTGACATAAGCAATAGGATGCGGAATTGTTGCGTCATATTTTTGCATTAATACATCTCATATTCCCATTTGGCAACAATGCACAGGCAGGATTGAATAGTCTCTTTCGGGATCGATATGTCGGCAGCTGAAGTCAAGTCAAGTCAACACTATTTCTTGATTTTGCCCTCAGGTCATAACTTTCCTTCACCGACTATGTGTCATAAAAGAGTAGTGACTTTAAACGATGGATATTTCATTATTTATTTTCTTTTCAAATTTTCCAATATATCATCTCTCATAATTATAGTACAGCATATTTTTCTATTTATACAGACGTATGTTTAGAATCAGACGTGGTGCAAACGATTTATTACCACAAAATTAACTCCACATTTTTCCTAAATAATCTAATTTTATCACCAATGATTCCTGATTACCAGTTATTGCCTCGGAAATTTCAACTATTACCACAATGAAATCACAGTGAATAAAAGGCGTTATAGTTCTCAATAGCGCAATTTCTGGGTAGAAATAGCTTTATTTTGAGGTTATAATTTCTTGTTTTTGCAGTTACGATTAAAAAATTCTTATCCACAAGAATAATTAAATATTTTTTCTTTGCAGGTGAGGGTGGCAGATGTATAAGATTATTCGGAGAACCACCTCGTGCTGTTTGCGAAAAGGGATTGACGTGTTGTTCCGGAATATGCCGCGAGCATTGCCCTCGTGCTGGATAATATGCTATTAAGTTAATCTGGTTATGCAATACTTCGCTTGTTTTACTTTCAGCTGGTTTTATAAGAAAGTGCCGAAATTTTCTTTAAACAAACAACCCGCTTCAAAAAAATTAACTACTTGTTTCTTGAGAATAATCGCCCAATTCTCTATGATAAAACTTTTTTCTTTTTTTAACAATAGCAATGGCCAGGGTTCTCTTCCATCGTATATACAATAAACATTTATGATTGTGTTTCTCTTTGACTTTACCGAAGCTTTTGACGTTTGATCAAATTGACAGATGGGGCATGCAAGTACTTTTCAAGAAGTTGGTCCAATCATGACCCATCCTAGGATAATGTTCATGACTGTGATCTCTTTATGGATGGCAGTATTGAAGCGGACTGTCTTGGCGAGAATTTGACACATTTCTACACTAATATTATTCAAAGTGCTCTTCAGTTGCGGCCAAAGACATAAAGAGTTCATTGAACTGCTGCTTAAACAATATAAAAAAGAAATAAACAGAGTCAGAAAACGATGCGTATCTACTGGAGGCAAAAAATAAACCCAAGGTAGCATGGAGCATAATAAATGAATTTATTTTTTGTATACGTTGCTGAGGGAGTGATTAAAAAATTGCCTGCAATTAGGACACTTCTCTAGCGATATCATCTCCAACTTTCCCTAGTTCCAGAGAAAGTTGAAGCAGAGGTAAATGGTACATTCCCCGGCCTTAATAAGTCACCATCAACTGACATTTTTCATACAAATTTCAAGTACTATTGACCTGTTGATAACCTCGTTTACTTCATTGATTAATAAGAGCTTTCTGACTGGCGTTTTTCCGTCTAAATTTAAAACTAACAGAGTTTCACCGCTTTTGAAAAAAGGAGATCCCAACAATGCATTAGCATTGTTCTTTATTTGGGAGGATAATGGAGAGAATTTTTGAGGGACAGATTGGTGCATTTTTTTGAAAAACGTAATTTGTTGAAATTAGAACCAGTGTGGTTTTAAGGCTTGGCATTCTACGACCTACTAAGGGTCTCGGAGGATGTGGTCGAGTGCTTCGACTCGTGGCTGCACAGTGTCATAACACTATGCGATTTGTCCAAGACCTTTGACTCGGGACACTATTAAAAAAATTAGAACACTATGGAATAAATTCACTTATCTCAACTTGTTTCCTTTAACAACGAACTTTCAAACGCACAGGAACCAAAATCAGGAGAACCTCAAGGCTCAATTTTGGGTCCGCTATTGTTTGTCGTATATGTGAATGACTTGAGTGATTATATGATTTCTGTCAAATGTCGCCGCTTTGCGGATGACACTTTGACACCTCAAATACTGTTTTAGATCTAGCCGAAAGATGATTCTGTGTCAATAGTCTTCTTTTAAATAAAGATAAAACCCAAATTTCCTAAAGCTTTCACAAATTTCGACACCCTTAAAACGTTTTCATTGAAAAATTTTTTTGTGCTGTTCCACGTTCTTCCTTTTTTTTATGCTAATATTTATTTTAATATTTCTCTATTCAGTGGTATATATGACAATAAGAATATTAACTTGTAAGCTTCTATTTTTATTTCTATTTCTATTTCGAATGACACTGGCTTGCGTGTTAATACAAGTTCTGCTAGAATATATTTCCAAAGGCGGAATTTTCCAATATTGAGACGACGCAATAATTGTAGTATCTGGTAAATGCTAAATCCTCTCGATGGCATATAAATGGTTGAAAAATGATACAGTCATTAATAACTGCGGTAAAAAAGTGTATCTTGAAATTTCAACGATAAAGCAAACTCCATTAAATTGTTCTTTTGATTTTGGAGGTCATATATTGCCTCTGTTTAAAACGCAATCAAATCTTCAACAGAAATACTTTAACATATGTTCGTAAACAAAAAAAAACGTAGTTTGAGGTTATATATATACTTCATAAACATACCACAAGAAATATTAATAATTTCCGTATTTGGAGACATAATCATGATATCATCACAGATATAAACGCTTTTAACCCATTTTTGAGATCTTCACTTGTTATCTTTCTAGTATGGAGTAAATAAAGCAAATAACACTCTTATTATTAAATTATATTTTATTTGAACATTGGGAAATCTTACAGAAAAGTGATCACACCACTTCTTCTTCTATAAGTTCGCAATAGCAGCATAAAATTTTAGTTTTTTACTTACCAAAAATTTTATTAGACATAAATTAGTAACTTAAAAGCAGTTAAGCAACAAACAACCAGTTACCATTGTCCAAGAACTGGTTCATAAATCAACAGACCTTCGTAGTTATTTAGTTAGATAGTTCTTATCACTAGACGGCATTTCCCTTTCGCATTCTTTTTGACACGATCCCCGACAACAGATCAATCCTTCGTCGCATAGTGCGCTAGAGGGAGATCCTGCAAATTGTAGACAGACTCCTCCTTCGCCTGCAAAAAAATCCAATACTTTTGACTGAAAAAAAAACTGTTTTGACATCGAAACGGCAGATTAAATTTGCGGCTTTTACAGTTCTTGAGATAGAGATGAAATGCTGTTTTTTCTGTATTAGATAGATCAAAATATGATGCTATTAAATTTTACATAGAAACGATAAGTTTCTAGGTTTTAATGCACTAAATGAAATTTGAAGAGTAGCACATCACACCAAGTGGAGACACTTTGTAAGCAAAAGGACGGAACCGCTCTAGGAATTTAATTACCTACACTAACAAGCGGGACGTAAGCATGTCTTCAATCTTTGTCGCCGAGCAATTCTTGAAACATGCATATAAAAAAATTAATGCAAAGTAACATTTTATTATGCTCTATTTCATTACACTTCTGCATAGAACCATTATTAATATACAAAATATAATAATCGTCACTATCGCTAATGTTGTCACCTAGTTCAATGATCAATTCCGCCACTAATCGTTCTTGTTAAATATTTTCTTCCTTTAATACTCGTTTTTCACAAACTTGGTTCAGTGTTACTTCTTTTTATAAACGCTTTCAACGCAGACCAAATCATCTCAATCAAGTTAAATACATGCGGGTAATCTCAAGATTTTACGCCAGTTTTGTTGTGCTATCGAATCGATTTTTTATTCTTTATTAGCATTTTTTATTTTTAATAATTCCAGAAGTTGTCTTGACGTTTATTAATTGTTTGGAACTGAAAATCCATTTTCATCAAAAAAATACGCCCCGAATCTCTGGCACAGCTAATGTTTAAATCTGTCAGTACTTTTTTATGCGGACCTTCTAGGGTTAAAATACTATTCACTTTACAAGGGTCGTAGATTATACGCCTAATTAGATCTGCGTGTTGCTCTTTAAGAACTCGCGAAGTACCAGCATCTTCTCTCATTTTCCTCTTCTCTTCCTTTACTTTCAGTTTTTGAATTTCTTAACATTCAAACAAGTTGTTTAGCATCCGAAGACAAATGGATCCGTTTTTTATTTGCCGAGATAGTTCGTCTTCTAAATTGCCATTAGGTTCGACTACCATCTCCACTTCATCTTTAAATTCTGCGTCGTTGTCCATGTCTTCTTCTAACAGAGGAACATCTGCTTCATTCCACGGTCACCACATTTTAAAGTGTTAAAAAACGGGAACCTTCAAAAAATGTTTAATTGTAAGTTTCTAATAAGTATTTATTTGAATTCTTATGACGTACCTTTATCTACCGCGAAATTAATTTATAGTCTTAAAAAAAATGCCTGTTGAAGAATGCTGGAGAAGAATGTTGGCACACAAGAGAAAAATTTTTTTTTTCTAACTTACCTGTAAAATTAATAGTGTACAGGTCCTTACCCTTACCCTTTGAACTATCCAGTCAAATCAGCCTCGCAGAGTCAAAGCTCAAGAATCAGGTCAATAAATACGTACTTACTGCAAGGATCACAGTGATGTACACGAACACATTGCAATTTAGATTAAACTCTTAAAATACCCCGCAGCATCAATGCTTAATCAAATTTAAAACGGTCCAAATTTCAAGTTTCTACAAATATTCGTTACGGTCCATCTCAGGCAAGACCTACTTAATGCAGAATAAACATCTGTTGGGAAGGGTTTTACTACGGTCCTGCGAAGGTCTGCGAAGGTCTGTAAAATACTTAAACCGTGAAAGCAACAAATGCACTATATTTTTGGTCGTATTATACCCGAATATCCGAATACGCTCAACCCAACTCACCAATTTTCGGTACGCATCTGTTGCAGCATCCGCAAAACGTCGGACTTAGGACGTGAGTTTCGGGACAGGTGTCTTCGTTAACGCACCTGACGGTGTGACAGTAGTTCGGTGGACAAACAATCGCATCGCCTACGAAACACAAAACTGCAACGGATACTACGAAAAGCGAACGTTTAGCGGGTTTCATGACGATTTAGCAGCCTGTTGTTTGTTTATCGTGCAGCGGTCGAATGGATGGACCGGCTTTTAATGTTCTATATACCAGAGTGAATCCAATTAAACCGTTGTTGTTGTGGTAAAAAAAAAAACACGAGAGAATTGTTATTGTTGTCAATCGCGCCGAATATGTTACTCCGAATGGTGGGAAATCCCAACGTTCGATTTTCTAAATGCGAGTCTCGGCTGTTGTGCTGCGATAACGTTTATAGTATACCGTAGAAGAGCAATATTTAGCTGCAAGTAACAAAATACAAAATATACCAAACTTATAATCAAATAACAGTATTTAAGTAATGTAGAATATCATCTAATGTATGTGTAATATAATAGAAAAAACAACTAAGAAATATTTTAGACCACTAGAAGAGAGACAAGAAGAAAGAAACTTCCACAGATCACTGTAATAATAATAGTAATAATAATAATAATAATAATAATAATAATGTTTTTTTCTATTGACTTTCAACAAAAGTATCGGATAACGTCAACAATTAAAAAAAAATACTTTTTACAAAACTTCTGGATTTCTCCTGCGTGGTTTTTGCTGAGTCGCCAATCACAGAGCCGTAAAACTATCTCAGCCCGAGTCACTGAAACCAGAATTAAAACACGTTACCTCTGCTCTTCTCTCTAATAATTTCCACATTGAAGACATTAAGCGTTCCATCAAAAAATATACTTCAACACAACCTTCCAATAAAAATGAGGCCGAAAGCAATCCTACACTTGCCGCTGTGGTCCTTCCTTACAGAACATCACTGACCACATATCAAAAGTTCTAAAGAAGTATAACGTCAAAACCAGATTTACCACTTGTCCATCCATCTCTCAACATATTCGGTCCATCAAAGACAGAATTCCATTTGAGATGCCAGGAGTTTACAGCATTCCGTGCATATGTGGCAAAGAATACATTGGAGAGACCGGACGACAAATATCAACTAGATTGAAAGAACACGAAAGCGCCTTACGACTGAGACAAATAAACTCATCACCTGTCAGCCAACAGGATGATTGGCGAAACCTCAGCAAGTTCGACAGGGTTCTACAAGAGTCTCGTGGTTGTTCGAACAATACGTTTTTGTTGGACAAAGACTACACTAGCTCTGCAGGAGTTTCCGTAGCATATAATGAGCTAATATAAGCAAGATTGAAGATATCCGAAATAATACAATAGTAAAAGCTGAGAACCACACTCGACCGCAGTCGCCAAAGTATGCATAGCCATTTTGTTTAATACGTAGTCAATTTGGCCTGTCCAGGACAACTCCATGAACAAACCCAAATACTTGACGTTAGTCTGATTAATAGATTTATCCTGCATTCTAACAAATAAGCTTTTGCTCAAATCCCGAACCGAAAACCACATCATCTCACTCTTTGTACTATTGACAAATCTTCTGGATTCCTCCTGCTTCTGTTTTTGTTGAATCGAACTTGCTAACGTTTCGCCAGTCATCATGTTGGCTTCTTCGGAGGTCACCTGAATTTGGCTAGCATTCTACTCTATATCTGCTTATACAGAGTTATTCAAAAAGAAAGATCTGATTACAAACATTTATTTCCTCCAAACTAAATGGATAGAGAAAAGCGTACAATTGTGTTAGGCGTTGAATATGAGGACACTCATTTGGCTGGCTCACACGAATCAGCTGGTCTTTGGTTATGCAGTTCGCTGCTTCATTAATTCGATATCGTAGATCTTCAAAAGTGTCAGGCGTGGGAGGGATAAAAACAGGCTCCTTTACGTAACCCAAGAGATATCAAGAGATCGCAAGGAGTGAGATATAGAGAACTAGGAGGCCACCGTCGATAACGTTGATCTTCTACTCCTAATCTTCCTATCCAATGTCCTGAAACTTTAGAACTTTAATTTTTCTTATCTATTAACGTTAGAATCATGTGTCTATCTTCAGTATTTTCAAAAACATAACTGTTTGAAATCTGCTCTTTCTTTTTGAATAACCCTGTATATTATTTGAGAGGGGCGGAGGCAGAACTAAAGGAGGGGCATGAACATTGTGTCGAATAACAGCTTCAAAACGGGTAAGGTAATATTCCGAAAATGTCCGAAGTATAAATAGGTATTTTACAGAAGTAGTATCAAAAGATTGTTTGGTTGCTTACAGATTTCTATGGATTCTCGAATTTTTCTTTAAGAGAAGAATTGATTACCTGAAATAATTTTGGTTTTATGGAATAAGATTTGATGTCCGATTTAATAATTGTGTTCGGCAACTACTAACGTTCTTTGAGCCTAGTTGAGTTGACAACTTTTAATATGTGGTCAGTGATGTTTTGAATAAATAGTGGGACAAGTGTGGGGTGCTTGCTGATTCATTATCTTTGGAAGATTGTGGTGCAGTATTTTGTTATGGTACGCTTGATATGGTACGGAAATTATTAGAGAGAAGAGTAGATGTAAGGAGAATATGTTTTAATTCGAGGTTCAGTGACTCGGGTTGAGACAGTTTTACCGCTCAGAGTCCAAAATATCACTGACCACACATCAAACCTTAAGAAATATAACCAGTTGACCACTTGTCCAAAAGTCTCTCATTAAATCATTTTAATTTCTTGATAAAATATTGTAGACTGTAGAATAGCGAAACTAACCAAAACTAATAAAAATATTACAACAAAAAATCACAATTATAAAAATAGAATAACATTTTCATTCGTCAACCAACTAACCAAAACAAACAAGTTTCTTTTCAGCGATTGTTGTCAACGAAAACTAACCTCTGAATATTCTACAGTAAATTGGTTAAGGCTTTCGCGGCCCGTTGATAAGCTATTATCTTCATTCGGGTTTAAAGGCCGTCGTCGATTGGAATTACTTCCTCAGGAAGTAATTCCAATCGACGACGGCCTTTAAACCCGAATGAAGATAATAGCTTATTCTACAGTAACCTCCAAAATAATGATATTTTTCCGCCTTTTATAACCGTCCTACAATTTGTTTCTTTCCAAAAACCATTTTATCTTGTGGTTAATTTGTCGATATTTGTTAATTTAAGCACGTATTATGTGTTTAAAGTGTTCTTCGGTTAAAAATTACAAAACAGTAAGAGAAAAAGTGTGGTTAGGTGCTAATTAAATTTTTTTTTTGTTATCGGTCATTTACTATTTCAAAGTTTACAAGGATATAGAAGATATAAAATATAAAAACACAGCTTTAAATACAAAATATATTGTTCTCTTTACTAAGTGCTATTAGATAACACGAGAGCCGTAAATACTATAAAATTGAGAGGATATGATCATTTTTACACAGGAGGGAATCATCCTCACAGCATGCCCCTAAATTTCACACAATAACTTTCATTTTGAGTCATTTTCTTTCCAAGCAGAGATCCTCATTCACTTAATTTGAAGGAATATTACCTTCACACTTGAAATCTGTCGAATTGATGCACATGATGATTTTAGAAGGTCGCTAGGTCGAATTGGTTGGTTGTAACTGTATCAAATATCTCCACATTCTATGAATTGAAAGTGCCCGTATTCACGAAATGTTTGACTTTTTTTATTCAAAATATCTTGGCTATCAAAATTTATTTTTTTCATAATCAAATTTTAGGCCAATCGAATATATATTTTTTATTATTATGCATTAAAAAATTGATACAAATATGATAGCAAACACAGGCAAAAGCTAAATTTTCAAATAAATTCTCCTAATATCTTCTGATCTCGCCAGTCGTAATTAGGAGAGCTCCATTTTTAAAAGGCTCTGCTGTGTAAGCGGTGAACTGCAGAATTCGGTTGCCAAGGGACTATTAGGCGCGAGTCAATATTGAATAAGCTTAATGGAAGTTATTTTTTGATTCAGAGATTTTTTGTTAAACATGCACGTAAATATAAAGGTTGGATTAACTTGTAAATTGTTAGACAAATATTTGTTTGAATATACGAAAACATTTACGTTGTAATGACAACTGCAAACAAACAACATCAGAGTGAATTTTTGAGAAGTAACTGGTTTCGTAAATTCCAATTAAAAAAATTGGCACTTTGGTTCAACGAATAGCCGTAATACGAATTGAGTTACAAAAAGAAGAATATAATAAAACAAATTATCAAAAGGTTTTTCTACTCCCTTCTGTAAAATTCCCAATTATAAACCGATCTAGCGTAAGGGAAGCGTCACTTTACCATATGAATTTCTTGTCCCACGGATTCGAGCCGCTTCGGGCATTTCCGGAATATTACCGCACGGGGTTGGGAGCAATCGGATGTTTTCGGAGATTTTACCGCACGGTTTCAATTTTGACGTTTGTCAATTCTGACGGTTATGTCGTGTTGCTTTGCAAAAATGTACCCAAAAACTAACGATCGTACGAAAAGTATAGTATGCAACACGTTTGATAAACTTGTTAAGTGACTTGTATGATCTGTGTACACTAAATAACCATTTTTATCAGAAATTACTGTAAATAACAATTAAGTCATCACCAATTATGATCTTGCTTCTGTTAAAAATATATCAAGTATATAAGTAAAAAGCACTTTATACTTACTTTGAATATTATATTTATTAACTTACATTTCGAGGAAAATAACAAAACTAGCATTAACAAGAGGAAATATATTACCAAATGTTACCACATTGAAAATAAGTGCAATTAAAATAAAACACACATTATTTCTTCCTTGCGATACCACTTCTTACAAAAACAATTACAATTCAGGAGCATATTCACGATATCGTATAAGAAGTAAAAAAAACTTGAAAACAGTCAATCTGAACGCACCTCCGTTAAAATTTAGCAAATTCACATAATATAGCAATGTAACAGTTAAAATTAAACTTATCCTAAAATATGATATTGAAAGCTATCAATCAATATCACTTTTCAGTTTCAATAATGCAGAGCAAAAGCAAATAAACAAATAGGTATACAAGAAGGGCAAATTTAAAGAAGTCGCTTCCAAAGAAAGCGCAGCCATTGACTTCACGACTTCCTATGACCTTTCACCTTTCTTGTTGACTTAAAAAAAAGCTGTTTCATTATTAATTTTCTTAAAGACAAGTAGAACACACTTTTTTCATTTTGACGTAAATTCTGGATATTTCTCGACGTATCTTTGTTACATTTTAC